TGTTTGATTATTGCGCTACCTTAGTATCGGCGGTGTGTACAGATTCGGTAATTCTTATCTTCCACATGCCTTAGATTTTTAGCATTAATTTTGTTTGCCCTTGTTTGCTCGTGATCACTGGCGCTACCTTCATGAGCCGAGTGCTCCGAATCTATTATAACGATTACTTGGTAGTGCATTGGCGGTAACACGTGCTTTCGGTTATGGGGGACGTAAACAGAGTTAGCCACGGTTGAATTAGGCTAGCCCTGTACTCTAGAGCTTCTCAGTTCATTCCCCCGCCTCACCCACGCGCACAACTTAGCGAGAGCCATGGACCGAAGTGCACAAGGTTTAAATTGCATCTAGCCCCTTAAATGTGAGATTTTTCGTTGGCGGTGAGAGCGAACATGATGTTCTTTATACCAGCGTACTGGTGCAAAAACCATGTGTATTCCGCGTGTTGTTTTTGTATGTCTGTTCACACACCCCACACCCCCCCCCCCCCCCCTCTGCAATGGTGTCTTCCAGAGTTGAGAGGTGCAAGCAACATCTACGACGAACGTACGTTTTCGTGGGTCGGTGAAAATTTCGCGACCACGGAAGATAAGTACGGAAAAGGGCTGTGAGGTGTTTACCAAAGTTGAACAGGCATGCTGCATTGGTCGCCAGACTTCAGGTCGTGAAGTCGTATATATATATATATATATATATATATATATATATATATATATATATTCACATAGTCGTATAGTCAAGTCGCATGTGTCAAGTCGAGTGCCCAACTGTAAAATGGATCGACGGTTTGGTGATGTGAGAGGTCCTGGCCCAGGTCTGGGTTCACAGATCCAGGCGTCTTATATACACTTTTCCGTAAGTGGTCGAAGCTTATTGTTCCTTTGATAACCTCATGCGGTCATTCCATGGCAACTCTACCAACGATGAGCTGCTTTTGACACCCGACCATCGGAGATTGCATCGCAAATCTGAAAGCCGGATATTGGCCCTTTGAGCACGATGCTGATAAAATTTGAGGGATTAACGCTGCCGTTTTGGCTTTCAGATGTCTCATTTTCATGTTTTGAATAGAAGTAATTTGAAATGGCTGCTTCTATGAAACCATCACAGAATCTTAATTTACAGGCATGGCCACATGTTTGTAGCCACGGCTTCATTTCCTACATCAATATCCTTCGAAAAAGGACACATGTGTATTAAAGAGTCCGTCCCGGTGGCTCAGTTGGTTAGAACGTCTGCATTCCGATCCACCCGCCCGTGGCGGGATGGGTTTGAGTTGCTTCAGGGCGCTCGCTATTTGCCCTTGACAGGTATGGCCTGCGGCCGGTGGCAGCGGTCACGCTGAAGGTCAGTGACGTCAGAGGGCAGAACCGACCGTGCCGAGCATGGCGGCACGGTAAACTTTCGCCACCAAGTTCTGTCGTCGACGTGGAATTGCGAGATCGGATAGTAGGGGTCAGGGCTTACACAACAAGCACTGCTTGGTGTGAGCGCTGATCCCAGAAATCCATCCATTCATAGGGTTCGGATCAATTCTTCAAAAACAAAAATACGAACAACAATTTAGTGTTGAATTTGCCACAAATAACCTGGAGATGCACGCCTGTTAAGATTTGAAACCAAGGACGTTCCTGGATTTCCTAACATATTTTCACTAATATCGACAACAAGCACAATGGGCCGACCACCGACCACCGATACCCATATCGACTCATTCATCGGGTGCCGAATCGCTCCTCCCGAGCACAACGCCGGTGACGCTTGCCCGAGCGGGGCGCTCCCCTATCGCCGGGTGTCTGAGACGGCATGAAGGGAGAAAGGGAGGGCAGTTGCTGGTGAGGCGTGTGGTAGGGGTGAGAAATCCCGCTGTGATGCCCTGTCCGCACCAAATTTTAGTTCAATAATCAGTAGTTTTGTTGGGATGGAGCCCAGAGTGAAAACTGGTAACGATTCCGTACTCTCCCTTAATGCTCGCCAGGTTCTCCAGTTGCACCATCAATTACTGCGTGCAATGTGGGCGTGTCGCCTCAATCTTACTTTCACCAACGCCTGATCTTCGCATCACGATAGCACGCACGCGGTTCTCAATTGGTTTCAGTATTGGGTGAATTAATCTATGGAAAGCATCGAGGCTGAGTAGATGATCTGCTCACTTTCGGCCACTCTTTTGTCGCTGCCTGGCTCCTCAGGTTTGCTGGCAGACTCGCCAGTAGTAATTTGCGGTTAGAATGGAACCTCCAGCCGAATAGCGCTCCACCATCGTTGCGAGGCATACCGGGTTCTAATTGTCGCACGCTAGGCAAGTAGTAACTGATTCGGTGCATCATGCCTCTCTTCAAGTCACAGGGTTCTCATGCGTCGTAAAAGGGATGACTAGACGTCGTGCAAATAGTTCAGAAATAAAATCGTACTGACAGCGAGCTCCAATTTCAAAGAAAACGTCTCTGGAAGTGAACTACGGTACGAGAATACTGAGTCTAATATCTGTTTTTTTCGATGCTCTGCAAGGTCAAATGGCGAGGCACGATCTATTTGGGATTTTCAGCATGCGAATTGTCTTCAGTGCACAAAGAAACATCTGCCGCAAAGTCCTGCAGGACTTTTCTAAAGACGCTCACTTTGTGCTGAAAAAGGTTTTGATTGTAAAATGCCGAAATCAGCTGTCAACTTTTGTGTGTCAAGTTCAAGGTTATTTGACCTTACACTTGATGTTTAATTTCGACCTTGAGAGTTCAAGATTTTTCCACGGATGCTGGTATATGCACTGAAGGAGAATCTGACCCCAAACATTGAAAATCAACTCTTAAGTGATGCGGAGTTCCCTGTAATCTGCCTTCGAGGGCGGCGACAAATGCCACTTGTCCTGTTTTCGATGGCCGCTAGTTCGGCCGTTGAAAAATACTCTGATGCTTAGGTAAATATAATGGGCTGGTTATTTCTGGGTGGTGCCGAGTTGCCCACACTTGGCCTTGAATTTGTCTTCGAGGGTCGCGTGATGCTAAAAAGCAGGTGTCATTTTTGATGTTCCCATGCCGTTACTGACTAGTGCAGGCGAGGTCATTGCAATAGGAGCTCGTCGCTAAATAAACCGCTAACTTTGCTGACATCGGGACGGTTGGGTGGTGCGCTGCTCTCTCCCACCCCAGTGTTCAATGTCCAACTTTCCGGCCAGCCTCGTGAACCTCCGGCATGAAGCAGGCAACATCCTCAGACCAGCCGATGTTGGAGGCAGGATTGACCATAACCCGTCCACTCAACCCTTGGTAACCGATCTCGCAAAACTACACCGATAGTGACGGAGAAGTTGTGGGGCGAATGGTGAGGCCGCATGGAATTATTGACACCTGGACTCCGTGGCGTACATCCTCCGTACCCCACCGCCTGAGCCGAACCGGCCGCCAGCGCCGCCCAGCCCGTGGCAGGGTCCGCCGGGGCCCGCGGGTCACCCCGCCCAGTCCGTGGCAGGGTCCACCAGGGCCCGCATGTCATCCCGCCACCAGCGCCGCCCAGTCCGTGGCAGCGTCCACTGGGGCCCGCGTGTCACCCCGACCAGCCCACGGCAGGGTCCACCGGGGCCCGCATGTCACCCCGCCCAGCCCGTGGCAGGGTCCACCGGGGCCCGCATGTCACCACGCCACCAGCGCCGCCCAACCCGTGGCAGGGTCCACCAGAGCCCGCGTGTCACCTCGGTGTTGACACCGGGACCGCTCCTGAGCCAGGCTGTCAACAAATCCAGTCTCGCAATCCGACCGCTCCGCGAAGTCACTGACCGCCTGGGGCGCACGCGGGCACACGGCCGGTGCGGCGATCGAGCGACGCCAGGTCCCGGGCGGCCCACAGACTGACTGAACCATCAGCGAGAGGCTCAGTGATGACATGTCCAGGCGTAAGGACCGCACAACTCAACGCTTGATCGGGTTTCAATTTATTTCTCCTCGCCGCGTCGGGCGGGACTTCCATCTGAAAACAGCATATGTTACGGAATGAGATGTGGAAGCATGCTACACCTGTACACACAGTACGTCCCGCGGGGCTCAGCGGTCGCATACAATAGCAGCAAGGCAGAGCTCCCAGACGGGACCTAGCGCTTGGCTTTTAAGCCACACACACGCACATTCTCTCCATCTCCACACGCGCGCGCGAAAAGGGCTGCACAGTTGCACACGGGCTGCTCGTCACTACATTCCTGCCAGGCGAAGCGGCAGTTGCCCTCGAGACCTGACAATCACGAACACGGCCGCCTGACACCGGCTGACACAGGCGGGACGCGCCGGCCCGCGGCCCGGAGCGCGACCGTCGCGCGGGAGTGTCCTGGGGACGCGCAGGCACGATGCACGCGCGGCCGGCAGACACTGATGTTGCGGCTGGCTCGGCCGGCACGCGGCGCCGAAGCCTCCCGAGCTGAACGGGGCGGGCGAGCGCACGATCGCGCCGACGCGGCCGCCACAGCGCGCGAACACGCGGCACCACGTCTGGCGTTGCACGCGGTCGACGTGGTACGCGAAACGGAGGAGCATACCAGTCTCTTCCAGACGATAACTTCTGGAGTGAGACGGGCACAGACACGAGCGTCAGCCGTTGCGCACTGGCAGCACCTCAAATGCCGCTGACAACAGCAGCGACACAGGGTTCAACTGAAGGGCATCAGAGGCAAGATTTCAACACAGGATAATGAACAGCCTAGCGCGGTGCTCAAAACAATAGCGCCGCGCGCACCTTCCAGCCACACCATTCCGGGACCAGAGGATGCGTTCCGCGGGTCAGAGAGCACGGCGCAGCCCGGCCGGGAGCCTCAGTGGCCGCGCCGACACCTCCCCGATTACACGGTCGCGCCGGCGGGAAAAACCGCGCCACGCGCCCACGAAAAAAAGAAAAAAACGCTACACCACGGTCCGTGTCTTTTCACTCAGTCCACGATTTTGATCCTGCACACCCCAGTCCCGCATCGACCGTCGTCTACGGGCGCTCGCGGCCGGCCGGGCGGCCGGCGCGCCCCGGCCCGAGGCCCGAGCACCGCCGGCGGCCGGCGCGGACAACGGCTACGGCGCCGTGGGATCACGTGGCGTAGCGCTGCGTCCACTGGCGCGCCACGCGGTCGTGCTCCTCGCGGTTCTGTAGATACTGCGTCGCGATGCTGCCCACCAGAGGGTCGGCTGCCGGCACAAGGGCGACGGGGTCAGCTGCCGCGAGGGGGGCCGGGCGAGGTCACACAACCTCTTCCGAACAAAGATAAACGCAGCGTCGAGTCGGAGATCTTGTGCTTTGGGTCAGCGCAAAGCTGTGCTCAAAGCACGCCCGTGCCCAAGACATTTGGACGAGGGCAGAGTGTACGCCCTTGAAGTTAGCACCAGCTTCGTGCCGTCGGGTGACCGCCGCCCGTGCCCCGCACATTCGGCGACCGTGTTCTTCTGCAGTCAGCGCGTACTGCGATCCAATCCCAGTCCTGTTCCATTGGTTCAATCCCAGCCCTGTCCCATAGATCCAGTCCCATTTAGGACTTGGCCGTCCCCCGGGTGAGGGTCAACGGAAACAGAACGGGCACGGAGCGGACGTCGATGAACACTGGTGACGAGGCGCAATGCACACACGGGTATCAAGTGCGATTAACTGACACGGACGACGTGACAGATAAACGACGGCTACCCCTGCGATAACTGACCATTAACCATCACAGAACTCACGCCAATGTGACACGAGATCTATATCACACATCACAACGGCACACGACTGAAACGCGGAATCCACACCGCGCATGGGAGCGCGCAGCGTCCAGCGCTTTAATGAGCTGTGCTCCATCGGCCCGTGGGGATCTCCAGACCCGGTGCGCACAGCCGGACCCGATCCTCCTGCGGCGCGCCGGCCGGCCGGCTGGCCGGGCGGAAGCGGCGCTGGCGTCCGTGCCGGCGCCGCGCCTCCCTGCAGCCCGGCCGGCGGCGGGCTGGTGGCATGCCGAGCGCCTCGCGTGAGCGGCCGCCGCATGATGGCCGCACTTCCGCCCGTTGCCCGGTCGACACTGGGACGGCGGCGCCGAGCGCGAGGTCGCAGTGTGCACTCGTGTGATGGGTCGACGCTGGCTAACAGCGCGGGGCGAGGCCACATAGCCTTGTGCTACGATACACGCTCATGGTTAGTTGTGGAAATGTTCCACCCGAAGACTTAGCGCCTGGAGAAAAATCGAAGGTGTATTTGACAGAAAACTATAGCAATAGCTGCAAACTTAACTAAGCTCGGCGGCGCGCTCCTACAGCCGGCCGGCGCAAGTAGTGTGCTTTGCATCGCTCGCGACACATAGCGACCAAAGCTGTGTAAAACACCAAACAGAGCTGACACGTCACGTCCACTGAATACTGACTGACATCAGCCCACATTGCACGCGTCTCCTAATACCGCGCAAAGGAAACAGGGACGGACGGTGTGGTCATTGCAAGATACGGGGGAGGATGCTTGCAACACATGCCATTGCAAACGTTGCTCTCATTGTTACGAGCGAGCCCGCCGGCTGAGCGCGTCTGATCTGCACGGTGAGATGATGCTCGACTTAAGCGACCCGGTCTGGCCGTCCCGCTTTCTGGAGTCTGATGTTTGCAGCCACTGGTCGCATCATTCCGTTGTCGGCAATAATGCAGCCACTGGTCACATCATGCCGTATCGGCATCAATCAGCGCAATCCTTTACGCCATAGTGCGGAAGTAATTGAAGCTTTCAGGCGCTTCGACTGCGCGGTCATATAGAAAAGCTGTTGAGTCCTTCCTGTGCGAGCTGTTGTATCGTATGCGCACTTCATACATTTTGAAACGCTCGCCAAAACACGGCGTTCCCCTTCAACTAGCATGGACTAGCAAAATTGGCAAACTGCGACCGGCTACACGGCATGGGCCGAAGCCGGGCTGCGATGGCGACGCTCGGCGACGCAGCGGTGCGACTCCGACATCAAGTGGCAGACTGGGGCGATCGTTTAAGCAGCCGTGCGGGTCCATGCGTGCCGCCCGCATCCGCCCGTGATGGGGCGTTCTCAACGTTCGCTGTCAGATCTCCGCGGCCAGAGCCCACAAAGGCGTGAAATTGATTGCGCGATGCACGCGAACGCGCCGTCTTCACGTCGCCACGCGATCTCAACCCTGTGCAGACCATGGGCGCGCCAGCTGCAGACCGCGAGGCGGCAAGTGCCGCCCTCTCCGAAACCAGTCCCGAACGCAACATGCTGGGGCCTCCGCCGGAAGAGATTCGGTCATCAAAACAACGGGCCTCAGGTCTCGCTCACTGCGACATTTGGCCAACGGCACCAAAAGGGTGCATGAGAACTATCCGTCCCCTTCGTCGAATACAGTGTCAGGTGTGACCAGGCAGATAACCCAAGCCCCCAGCACTGGCGATGGCTTCTGTGTATCAGCGCACGGGGACGCGACATATGTCAACTTCTGTGTACGAAACACTGATCAAATATGTCCTTGTCGAAACATGGATCAGACCAACTTGTATGCACTCTGATAGCGGTCTGGCTTTATCAGTTCGGCTTCCGGATCATCTGCATGGTGACAACTGATAACTTTGACGGCTGCTATCATCCCTGCCGTTTCAACCAGAGCATTACTCGCCTTACTGGTCCCGGCGCCTTACTGGCTGCATGGGCCGCGTGATGCTGGCTCTACAAAATGTCTACATATCACTGACAACAACGCGATCTCGAGATATGCGTGCCGTCGCAGGCGTTGCTGTAACTTGCTTGTAGCTTACTCAGGCAATTGCCGAAAAGGATCGGTCTCCTGACAACGAAAAAGGTGTCTTACATGTGCAACAACTGATCCCAAATGTTTTAGGGGACAACAGGCCCGCTCCCCTTGACAATACCAAATAAGTCCACACCTTTCGCAGAGCTCGAGCAAGGGCTGTGAGCACAAGTACCGGATGGCGACACAAGCCAATTGTCATATGTGATAGTATCGCAACGATGAGCCCCTATAGGTATGTAAAAATACGTACGATATCACACCATCGTATCTAATAGTGGAGTGGAGGTCCACCCAAGCGTTGATCCATGTAGCGCGCCGGATTGATAAGATCAGAATGCACATAAACGACAGTGGTAATAGCCTTATTCCTTGCAGAACAACGGGGAGAATGGAGAGATAGATGGATTTATATTTTGGGTACATGCCCACTACATGCCTTGAGCAAGGGCAGTGAGCACAAGCTATGCATGACGACAAAAGCTAACTCAATTGAGTAGCTGATATTACTGATATACTACTGATATTCGTTTCGATAAAGGCATGCAGCCGAAATAAAATCGGAACAAGTAACGGCACTTGAGGATGAGTAGCTGATACTACTGATGACTACCGATATTCGTTTCGATAAATACATGTAGCCGAAATATCAATCGACCAATCTCTCCATTCTCCTGATTATTCTGCGGGGAATAATGCTACTACTACCGCCTTATGTAAATGCATAATGTTCCTCACAAATGCACTTGGCGGCTTACGTAAGACCGGAATGCGTGGAGCATTCACCCGTTGTCAGTGACCACCAGCTCAGGGACAACTCTGCTTTCAACAATATTGCTCGAGGGGCGCATTGCACGACACAAACATGCTACCAGATCCCACGACGCCCTGCCCCCATGCCCCTAACTTGGAAAAGGTAATGACACTTGAGGATGAGTAGCCAACTGTCTGCTTACCGCGAGTCCATGCGCTTACGGTTAACACTCAGCCGCAATCCCGGACCACATGCCCACCTGGTGCCCAACTGAGACGCAATGGCTGGCTCTGGTGCTCAAAACCGGACAGATCCCGTTCACGGCCTTCCTAACAAACAACTAATTCCACATCACACGTCAGCCTACCTTACGTAACGCGATGGGCACACTACGTGTTATATGTTTTTTCATTCAGGGAATGCGGCATAAGTGCGGACGCACGCCACCCAACACACGGATATGTAATGGCAGAGGTGTGCGTCATATGAACGACACCAACGCCGCGCGCACCTCTCAAATGTCGCCACGCCAGTCGCTCCATAACCGACAGAGGGGGAGGGGGACAGAGACTGAGCCAATGATTGCACGCGCCCTGCCGTCAGACGTGCTCCACGTGACCCGACACCGGGGAGTGCTTGCCCCTGCCGCACCGTCCAGCACCAGGCTTCCAGCCAACGGAGCGAGCCGTCCTCATTCGCACGCTCTAGCTGCGACATGGAGACGTCGCCGCTGACGAACGCCGGCCATCTCGCACGGCACGCCGTTTAATGGCGAGATCGTCCGATATCGATACCACGGATGCGAGCACATAAGTAACTTTAATGAGCATATGCCATAACTTCCTGAGCAGGCCTAACCTTAGCGCGGAGCGCCACACGATACCCGGACACACAAATCAGCCACCGTACGACCAGCATGCCAACTGGGCGTTGTGCTGACTGAGAGACGTGTATGACCCGTGCTCTGCCGGTGACAGAGCCAAGCGGCAGGTACGGATAGATCGAAGCGCCTGATCTGAGGAGACCAATCGGTGACGGTTTCTGTCCTCGTCTGCGTGCACATGATCCCAGAAGTCGCCCTATTAACAAATTCCGAGCACCGCCTTGCTACTGCGCGCACCTGTGCGCCGTGGGAATGCGGGAGGGGGGGGGGGGGAGGGGCTTTACGGTCACGTCACACGGGGCCACACACGGTCCGCCAGAAGCCGGCCGTGCAGACCCCAGTCCCAGGTGCACGGGTGGAGCCGACGGCCCCGGTCCAGGCACGTAGAGGGTCACCACTCTTGAGGACACGGCGCGTCGCCAGAGACGAGGACCACGTCTGGACGCACCGCCCGCGTGGTGCCGATGGCGCGCCAGCGAGCGGCGGCGAATGGCGCTGCTGCTGGCGACGTCAGCACCGGTCACCACCGCGCTTACACGAGGCGCGATGCCGCAGGCAAGCTCATAGAGATCCCAGCAGCATACCTGGATTGCAGTCGGTCAGCAGGGAGCAGATGGAGAGGAGCACCTTGGAGATGGTCAGCGCTGGTGACCAGTTGTCCTTCAGGATGTCCAGGCAGATCACACCCTGGCTGTTGATGTTGCAGTGGTAGATTCTTGTCTTAAAAGTCACCTGAAACCGCGACCATTCACAATGACATGCTGACTCTCAACACTACTGCAATGTGTGATGTGTTATGTGGGGTGTAGGTATGCGGTCAGAAGTGTGCCAAAATTATGTAGTAAGAACCTGCTCCTTTGCTTTTGCAAAAAAAGGTCGACACTTGACCCCATCCTCACATCCTAGATGAGTGGGAGCAATAAACACGAAATTACATACCATAGCAAAGTGATACTTATCTACCATGAAAGAGCTGCAATGCATCATACATCACTAGTTAAACATGCATGGTGGAGCTCGCCATTGTGTTCAGCATCCCACTGCGAACATACTGAAATGCAAGAACACGATTATAAAGGTGGTTCTATAATTTTTGCCTGGCTGGATGAATCATGATATGTAGATCAAGAAATACAGAATAAACGTCATCCAGCTGGCTGCTTTCAATAGCCAATTTTCCTCAAAGTCTTCAAAGTCCCCTCATATGCCTTCTGTGAGCCACACATCACGGCGATGAACGCGGACTCCTCCTTCCACAGTTCTTACCTTGGGCGGCTTGAAGGGGTACTCCGAGGAGAAGTGGATATCCAGGAAGAAGACACCGCCCTCGTAGACGGAGCCAGGCGGGCCGAGGATGGTCGACACCCACTCGTACAGGTTGTCGCCCTTTGGACCGGCACTGCAGTTTGGCGGCGGGTCCAGCGTGATTTCCGCCAACTCCTTCTGGATCCTGATGACCGACAATGGGGGAACATCAGTGCAGTGGGAGGGAGGTGGTTTGATCTCTGTCCATGCCTTTTGGATCCTGATAACTGACACAGGAGACAACATGTCAATGCAGTGGGGGGAGGTACTGTAGATCTCTGCCAATGCCTTTTGGATCCTAAAAACTGACACAGGGACAACATGTCAATGCAGTGGGAGGAAGCTGTTGTATGGCCTTTGCCAATGCCTTCTGGACCTTGATGTTGTGTAAAAGGGAAAACAAATCACTGCAGTCATGTGGTGGAAGCAATGTGGTGGAAGCAAGGCAAGCAATGTGCTTTTGGACAGTACTCCCAGCTAAACCCCAGCCCATGGTGCCAGATTGGGGATGGCCTATCTATGTGATGTCTGCCAGTCTGCTAGCTTTCCATCAAATATTTTTCTACAGACTTTGTCATCAAGAAGTCTTTCCAAAGAATAACCTGTCATCACTTATGAAACAGTTGAATACAGCTGTAAAACTGCTATGAATTAGGCCCTGACAATGTCATTTCATAGAAATCTTCATGGACTACAAAATCATCAAATAGCTTATTGATCAGGGCATAAACCAAAGATAAATGTAATGTAACTATCATCATGCAGCACATACCGCTTGGCACTTGTGCTAAGTGACTTAGATGCCTTAGGAGTGAGTGTTTTGTTATGTTTCTCATCATTCTTGGTCTCTGTCTGTTGGCTGCTTTGACTTCCATTTGACTCATTTGCACTGGAGCCAGCACCTGTGCCAGCGTTTGAGGACATCTGAAAACAGACCACAAAGCACCAAGATAAATATGGGTTTGTTTCCGGGGGTACACATTCATTCAAGAACAGTATGCATCACCTCCAATGACAAATGTGCAGACATAAGGCCATTGTCAAACTATCTACTTTTTATATTAAGCCTGGAACTCAAGAGTGGCCGTAAACTTCCAAGGGCTGACTTGTCCACATTTACTTCATCCATTATTGAAATGAAACTATTCATAAGCTTAAATTAGTGAACCAACATGGAGTTTATTTCACTGAAGACTAAATTCTACCTAGTGGTCTCCCAGCTAGACATTTCCAACAGCCCTTATATTCCCTGGTACAAAATGAATAAAAAAGGACATAACACACAAAACCAAATTGGATTACACCAGTCCTGGTATCAAACATATGATTGTGATATCACACTATATACCAAAATGAGAAAGCATGCAACAACTGAATGGAGGAGAATGCATGCATGCTCAAGGATGAAAATCCCTTCTATTTTCAGCCAGTGATCAGCCAGAATGTAAATGGAGGCTTCTATAATATGAGCATGATTATGTGGTGGCACAACTTGAATCCTATCCCAAATGCAATGAAGAGTTGTACCATAGGGGTTATCATAACACTGCAATAGTTGTGAAAACTTTGAGCAAAGTTCAGGCATTACAGAGCACATGTGCAAAGAAGTAGCACTTTTGTTACCATGCACAGTGCCACAGCTGACACAGGAAAGTGACAGAATCCATAGAGAAGGCTTTTTTGAAGGCTAATGCTCAATATCAAAACATTAGGAATTAAAGCCTGTAAGCTGGAGCAACATCTCTGAAGCTGTTGGTGCCAAAACCAATTTTTAAGCACATCCTGTACATGCAGGGATGTTGGTTTCCTTTTCTGTTGGGAGGGAGGGCACCAGCCCTGTTCCTTGTCTCAGGCCAATCATTGGCAGAAAAACAATTTTTCAGTTGAGGGGATACATTCGGTCATTTTTCCTGCTCGGCCCTTGAACTTATTTTGTAAAACAAAACCAATGCTTGTGTATCCATAAGGTTAATGTTGAGTATTCTCAAAAGTGGGGTGCCATGGCAGCTACCAGCCCAGACTCAAGTGTTTCTGTGCATTTTGTTCCATCTGTGCTAAAAAATGTTTTCTTGATGGAACTGACTCATCATCATTTTTGAACGCCCAGCATATCAACTGGTTTACGCTATCCAGTTCATGTACCATGACTAACATCCCAAAACAATATCTGGGGCAGACAGAATCCTACCCAAAATAGGATAGAAAAATATCCTGTTTAGAGCAAATTGTGCTAAACTTAACTGCTGCTGAATATATAATTTACTCTCTGATTTGGCCATTTTCTGTGATCTAGCCAGTTTTATGTATCATAGAATACACCATGATGCCCTTAATAGTTCAACTCAGTCATTTTGGCCAAAATGTTGTTACAAATTCCCCAACAGTGAAAGTTTTGGCCAACCTCTACTCAATGAGATCTTGTCAAAACCTACAATGGGTTGCTGACTGGAACATTACTGTACATCCCACCACTGGCAGTAAGAATGAGACATATCGGGTGAGTGTTTGGCATCATTGATAAACCACTATCATTGTCATTACCATGAGTTGATGCTTTCCAAGATATCAGGGTAACATTACAAAAGCATAAGGAGGCTCAACAGCCCAGATGTCCACATCTTTGAACACCAACACTACACCTCCTCATCTACAGTAAGGCTCTTGGGGACAACAATATAAGATATTACCAACAGGTAAAAATATAGAATGAAACTATTTACAGGAAACCACCTGCTTCCTATCTATATCGGGAGATAAGTCACAATAGTACATCTCCCAAGACTGGAAACCCCTGCGCCACTATTGTCCCACCGAAAAACAGAGCAGTTTTCTGGTAAACATGACTACGCACATTACAGAAAGGGGCACTGAGCATCACAATTCGTCCCTCTGTCCATTTTCCACCTCACCTTACATGTATGTTGCAGAATGCTACCAATAGCTCGCTGGCCAGTCCGCCATTACAAATCCTGGCTGGGCCCAACAAAGCCTTTTCAAAAGCACTCGTTCTCCATGAATGCCGTAGAATCTCACACAAAGAGGGTTGTCAACGGACACAAACCTTTATGCCGTATTGCTGTCGCCCAGAAGAATGCTCCTTGTTAGATAAACGACCTTAAACCCAGGTTCGCAGCGCCCACCCTACCGCATACAGTATCGGCACCAGCGCGTGTGCGGTTTTTTGCATCCGTGCGTGCCGGCGGCGGACATTGGTCTCTTGTGTTGTTTTCGTACCCGGTTGCGCTGCCAAATGTGCGCCGCATAGGTAAAAGCTTGCTAGTTTCCTCTACGCCGCACGGAATAGCTTATTGCGGCAGAGTTATAGATATTCCCGCAAACAGCCTTGCATTTGCCGGCGCATGGCAGCAGGAGCGTATTCATGTAGTGGTTCCCGAGAAAATGCAGGGTTACAGATGCCGATGCTGCGAGATAGATATGTGGGGATAAGTGCCCCTCCTTTATGAAATTTATGTCACGCATTAATGCGCAGGAATAAATGTTAACAATGCAAAAACTCGCTGGAGACACATGAAACTTAATAGATCGAAAGCATGCGATGGTGTTTTACAGCGCGCAATAAACTATGCCCGCTGGAGCAAGTTTCCGGCGACAACCCTCATTCCGAAATCCTACATAGGTCTCTGGGGGCACTTTACAGAAGTCTATGACAAGAACAACTTCAAACGGAAGTGATTCGATGCCAGTGCTGCATCATTCATCCCTCTCAAATCTTTAACCTGTAATTTGTGAGGAATTCCAGGATTTCACCACACCAGTATCATTAGAACAGCGGCATTCTACACAATGTGCGATGGGCAGCCGGGCTCACACCACGTCATGCATACCGACAGCGTTGAAAACCATAAAAATAAGCGCATCAGAAGGCTGAAACAAAACTATGCATGGTCTGTCACGTACTTGAGAGGTTTCTGAGCATGGTTCTGCCCCTGAAACCAAGTTTAACGGAAAACCTCGCCGTTTTTTACAAACCCGATGCTCACGCACTTCAAATTCTTCTGGCAAACCTCCCTTAACCTTCGCACTCTGCGTGATTAAGTATTCTGCAACTCTCAGGGCGAAGATTTCTCCCCAGTCTCTTTGGGTCCAGAACACCAAGTGAGTGGTATTGAAATTGCCTTCATCGTGTGTCCGGACACACCCACCCTCCGGGAAGATCAGCCAAGTGACAATGATAGGCAGTTCCTTGCCACGTGGCGGTCCGATATTGCAGAAAATAACGGGCATCGTCCGAAGAGAGGCGTCAACAAACAGTGACTGGAAAAATAAAACGGCAATAAAACCTCTCCGGCCTCGGGTACGTTACATCCCGGTCCAAACGCGAACGTCATAGTTTGCGTCATATCCCTCTCAGGACTTACCTTACCAAAAGTCGCAGACAATGCCACAAGGCTAATCCGGATCATTCACGGGCAAACTTCAAGTGAAAATTCCAACATTCAACGATACAAGGCAGGCGTAAATGCGCAGCAGCCTGTCGCCGAGGTGGTTGATCCAACCATGGGCGGGTCCAGAACGCCGTGCTGGGGTTGAATACACCGGGTGGGGGGCAAAGTTGTGCCTTTGCAAAACAACTCATCGGATTTCGCCCCTTTTCACCTCAAAGGTTGTTCTAAAGCAACATTCCAAGGGTGACGTTTCTTTTCAATTGGGGGGGATGGGGGGGGGGGCAGAGGTCTTCAGTCCTCAAATGTGGTTCAGCTCCCCCAACCTTAGGAAGAAAGTGAACTGAATCCGGGAAAGAACTGTCTGTTCGAAAACCGTGGCGTCAGGGCCTTTTTCCCGTTTTAATTGTTCAACCCCCTACCCTCAACTCATCACCACAGTCTCTCCTCAATAAAAATGGCTGTAATTGATTTCTTTCAGGCTAGAAATGTGTCCTTGCATTCCGACCTTGACCATCTTGGGAACGCGTGGCTCAGCCACCCCTTTTCTCCTCCGGATGTCCTTGATCCAAACGACACGAATATTGCCAGTTGGAAACGCATTCTCAAGCAACGGTGAGAAAATGCAGCCAGGATCGCATGGTGTGCGGAAAGATGCACATATTGTCATCGTTTTACAATCTCTTGGAAAATGCTGCAGCGAAGTGGGCACGGCAAGATGTGAGGTAAATATCGCACCCTATTGTCTATCGCGTAGTACAGAGCGCCCTCGTTAACTGAACACCGCAAGAAACAGTGAGTTCCGTGGTAGGCCAAAAGCCCTCAGCCGGATCGCAACCCAAATGTTTGATCCACACACACACACACACACACACACACGTATATATATATATATATATATATATATATATATATATATATATATATATATATATATATACACGTGTGCGCGTGCGTGTGCGTGTGCGTAAGCGGGTGCGGGTACGTGTGCGTGCGTGCGTGCGTGCGGGTGCAGGTGCGTGTGCGCTTGAGCATGCGCGTGCACGTGCGTGTAGGGCTGGGAGAGGTAGGTGTTCCTTGCCTTCATCATCAGGAAATTATTTCAGCGAATATTGTTGCGAAGAACTCTTAAGGCACCAAATTTTTCGCTGTAAATTGAACTCAAATGTTATAATGCCATCACAGATACATGTTTGTTTGCAATTCTTGTGGCACGGTGCAGGTAGAGAACGAGGGTACGTACAGATCCAGACAGGCTAAATAAATAAGTGACCACAACGCACTCACGGCGCTCTTGGGAACACATTAATGGAAGAAACTTCGCATAGCAACCAAACAGAGCAGCCCGAAGGCGCGTTCAACAAGTGCGAGCACCTCAGAACACTGTTCGTGCCAGGAGCGCACCGCCTGGCGTTCGGCGAGAGGACAAGGTCCGGGTCACGCCGTTCTCACGCCCCCCTCCGATTCGCGACACGTCACCGACGACAACCAACAGGTTAATAACCAAGCGCACCACAACAGGCCACACGCACACGCGCTCACGCTGGCCGCAATCCCCACCGCGGCCTCTCGAGCCGCCCGCGGCCGCGCTCGCTCGGTCTGCCACCACGCCCCGGTCCGAGCTGGGCGCTGAGCGGCGGTCGGCTGGCGGGCGGCGTCAGAGGGCGGGCGACGCCCGTCACGAACACGTCCAGCGGCCCGCCGAGCCGCCGCTAGTCCTCGTCCGGCTCCAGGTTGATGTTGTCGCCGAACTTGGCGTACAAGTCTCGCTTCAGGATGGCCATCTCCTCCTTGCAGCGGCTGCCCTTGGCGTTGAGCTCCTCCATCTCACGTGTCAGCTCGTCTTTAGCCGCTTCTAGCTTGACCTGGCGTTAGACGGGGCGCTTTAGGGTTGCACAGCTTTGGATACAGATGTCAGACAATAATGCATAGATAATAACTACGTGACGTCCGTTATCAATATATGTTGGTCTAAACAATATCATTGAAAATACACATAAAACTTGAATGCTTATTACATTCACTGACGAATAGCATTTATAATCAACAACCAATCAACTTTAAAACCGGATTAAATGTTAATGCAATAACTATTCCCACAACACACTAAGCCCGGGTCGGACTCCAACGTCTACCGAACACCTATTCGGACCAATCAGCGCGCAGTTCGTGACGAGACCACGCCCGGCTGAGCCCCACGTGACTTGATCAGCCACTCACCTTGGTGTCATCCAGCGTGGCGTGGAAGAACACGTCACCCACCATGTAGGGGATCAGGTCCGCCTCGTCGTCAACCATCAGCAGCTCGTCGCTGGCATCCTCCAGGTTCTTCATTCCGTTCTGAGGGACAACCGTACCGGGCTGGATATCACACGGCACCGAACCAACGTCCTCAGTGCGTCTGCGCTCGAAACATGCGACACGAGAACAACACGATCATGGCATCTTCAAATGTACGCACTTGGTGTGGGGGGGGGGGGGGGGGATGACGCAAGCAGCAGAATCACCTCCCCAAGGCCCGGCTCAACAAAAGTGACGGGTGCTCGGTTTTACGGTATTCGCCGTTATTTTGATATCATCTGCAACCTAACAGACCAGAACAGGCATTGACACTGACACAAATAACAGGTAGGCGCTGTATAACTTCATAGTAAGTACCTCTTTATTTTTAATTTCATCCTGGAGATCTTGAAGATTTGCGTTGAGACGGGCAAATTTGTTGATTTTTCCCTGGTCTTCCCGCGTAACATGCACATCACTCTCCTGAAAACCACGCGACATGGTTTGTTACACAGATGACATTCCACATCATATTAACCTGAAGGACCTGAAAATTACGGTAAACAACAGGCGATAGAACCAACATATCTTGATAGCCCCCGTTTACAAGAAATAGATGATCTCGCCGATTTTATTAATTATTTCATATACCTTAATGCGAACTCCAACATTTACCAACCAGCCCAAACTATGATGAAATAAGTCAAAATGGTGTTTTCTAACGTAAAATGCATCAGTACAGCCAAACAAACATTCGTTAACAGAATTATCCACACAACTTCCTCACCGGCGAAAACGCTCCCTTCTGCACAGTTTGTGTGCTCATTTTGTCCTTGAGATTCGACCTGGAACGAAAAGACAAGTTCTTATTTGATAACGATAGTGATCGATTCCAAGCAAACATGGTACCATCACATCAGACATTAGTCGCATCGCTGCAACTGAAAAGCATAAATTGCTTGAATATCGCGTTGCGTGCAATGCCACGTCACGACATAGTCACGTGAACGATGTGCGCCAATGCTCCAGATGCCTATCGGCCAATGCAGCCTGGAAATAACTTTTTATCACATCAATGGAAGAACGCCGCAGTGCAATGCACGCGCCCGTGCAGAAAACGACCTCGCGCTCAACGAAGTAACCCACAGTTTGACTAGCTTGCCGCTACAAGCAGCCACACGTCAATTTCTAACTAGTGAGGGTGACGACCAATCCCAACGCAAACATCTTTTCCTCGTTGGCGAACGATATCAAGGCAGATGTCGGAAAGTGAGGAAGAGTCAGAATTTGATGACGAAGAGGAATACGACGATGAAAATACGGAGCTTGGTGAAGAAGAGAACGAGAAGGAAGACGGAGAAACTGATAAGGACGTTGAGGAAGCTGAACATGAGGGGGGCGAAGAGAAAGGAAGTGTAGCAAGTGGCGGCTTTGATGCCGAAGTGGGTGAGAAGGCGAAGCCAAAAGAAATGCCAAAAGAAACCCCACTGACAATCGACCACGTCAAGGCAGGCATCTCTATGCTATGCAAAACGGGAGATGGTCTGGAGATTGCATACGTCAAGCTTGTAGCTCAAGGCCTGGAGCTCACCAACGTCTTTCTTCTTTCCACGTACATACATCTGCGATACGTTGATCTATCGAACAACCAACTCACTTCTCTTTATCCTCTGCAAAACATGCGATTTCTGGTATCTCTAAAAGTGTCCTATAATAAACTGACATCGGCGCAATTATCAAATTTCCCATTTCTTCAGTTTCTAGATTTGACTGGAAATTTGATAAAAAATACGCAAGGCATCAAACAACAGTCATTGGAAAAGCTCATTTTGTCAAAGAACAAATTGGACAGCCTGCAAGATATGACCGCGGACAATCTACCTAACCTGATCCACCTAAATATAACCCAGAACTCTCTTAAAAACCTTGATGGCTTAGAGCTACCGACACTGAAGAACCTGTACGCCGCAAGGAATAAACTGAAATCGTTGGCCGGGCTATCTCGTCTGACATCTTTGGCCAGGCTGCACTTGAGGGACAATCGGATTAACTCGCTGGCCGGGCTGGACGACGACAATACGTCACTGGAGTACCTTAACATCCGTGGAAACAACGTAGAAGATGTAGAAGAGCTTTATGAGCTTAGACGTCTACGCAAGCTGAAGGTCATTGTAGTCGAGGAAAATCCATTCTCGGACGAGTCGGACGCGTACCGGTAAGTGTCTGGTTTTACTGTGCATGCAAGATTATAGGCATAAAAGTTTGGGAACCAACCTTGACGGCAGTGCTCAATATGAGTACGGGGTTTTGAACTAAAATGGCCGTTTTAAAGATCGCTCGGTGCAATTCACAGTCGTGTCCTTCGTGAGGCCTAGGCTCCCACAGTCTCTGAGCAGCATGCCCGCGAAGATGTGGACTTTTTCGTAGACTGTTTTAAGGCCATCCAAGCATGCATGACGCCATAACAACGTCGTTCAAATCCAGACAATCCACAAGTCATGCCGCGTTCAAGGGCTCAAAAAATATCATCGTCGAGCTAGTCGGACCAGGCGTCAGCGAGCACAACGTCCAGATATATTGGACGTCAATAGCCTCTTAATCAGTATTAAGCCAACTGTAAAAAATCCAAACACAAACACGTTTCATACTACTTCATAGTACGCTACTGTTAATTATACTACTTACTATGTAATTATAGAAATACTACCTCTAATAATACTGCTTGTTATATAATTATACTACTTATATAACTACTCACAACATAATACCACCAACTTTATACTATTTATCTTATAATACTACTAGTTGCTAGTTATTGGAGGAGTACGACTTGTAATAGAATAACTGAAGAAACGAGGCGTGCCCGAATATGTAAATACAAGTAACTATCTTGAATTCACGGATAAATATGCAAAGGGAAACCACGAGTAAGGTCCAAAACACCAGCACACCATGATATTTGGCTCAACGAACACTTCCAGCGCCGACACTGGCATCTCTCGGCGAGTTGAAGTACTGCATGCTAGGGTGGCAATTTCGCACGGCTAGTTTGACGACACCTTAACGTGCTATAAACGTTCCATGACAGGATCAAACAATGACATATTGAGGAGTATATTTACTACGGAAATTGTGTTGTCTAGACCATTCTTTTCCAGTAAAAAGTACACGAATAGCTATAAGAGACCTCGTGTATTCATCATATGTGATGCTTACTTCGATTTCTTCAATTGAGGAACATCCCCTTTTACCATTAGCAAACGGAGCACTTCGCAATGTCCCAACCAAAATGCATTACACCACCGTGTACATTGAAAAGAAGCATACCTTCCGCTCGGCACCGAATAGGCCATCCATATGACCTACGTGAGGCCGTACAGGTATATGGCCACCGCGGATCACATACAGACTGGTGCATCACGGACAGAATGCCTGAGGGATGGACAGGACAAAAAGCATTTATCACTCATCCAACTTAATGTTGGCAGCACTAGCCAGACCAAATGCATAACAACGCCTCCGCTGATCGTTGCACGGCACCGAAAGGAAAAGGCCACTTTCTAGTTTAAGTATCGAGTATGGAGACTGTGCATGAGTTTGCAGCGCGAGCGAGGCTAGCAGTCAGTGGGCTTATCTCATTAACTCACTGATAGCAAAGGATGTATGATTAATAACTAATGCAAGCTGCCGGTTGCCGATCAACTGGTCCTTCGCATAATGACGATGACCACGATGATGATGAAAATCATGATGACGCTAATGGTGATGGTGACTGTAATCTAGGGGCGTTCAACTGTACTCAAGTGGGTCCCTGCCCATCAGTGTGTAGGACTTTCATATTTTCAGGGGGAGGAGGGATTACACTATTTTAAGGGAGCGTCCCATGTATAAAAGGGGTTTTCAGCAGAAATCGCCATCTTGAAGATCATTCGGTGCCATTCATTGCCATAACCTTCCGCAGACCCCTCTAGTTTCTGAGCTACGCGCCCACGAAAATGTGCAGACAATTTCGTGAAGACTCTTTTAAGGTTACCCAGACATCCCAAACGCCATAACAGCGTCATTCAAATCCTGCTATTTCATAAGCTGTGCGGCGATCAAGGCTAAAAAACCCTAATTGTTGAGTCGTTCATTTGTGGTGATCTTGAGCGCGACCTCCAGATATAACGGCCGTCAATGGGATAGCAATCCGTGTGGTGCGCGACATCATGGCACAATCGAACAATGGCGCGTTAAGGAGCATAGCCACTAAATAGAGAAGTTGTGTGGTTTACAACGGTTATTTCCATTTAAAACTATACCAAAAGTTATAAGTGAGGATATTTTTTCGTACGTGATGCTTACTTCATACTTCCAAATGTGGAGCATTCCATTCAGCCACTTCTGGCTCTTGGTTTTGCACTGCTTTCCTAATATCAGTCTCACATTCATGGATTAATGGAATTTACCGCTGATTTTCGTGATTGTTGCGGTTTTTGTGGTGACATTTAGGTCTCCAATGCACCTTTTGCTGTGGTGATTTTGTACAACTACAACTGCACACCGCTACAACTTGTCATGCAGTACCTGCTTTGCAGCGTGGACGTCCTGGTGTACGCGCGCCGCTTGGAGCGCATCGACAAGGAGCCGGTGGAGGAGGAGGAGCGCGAGGAGGCGACTGACCTGTACCCGCAGCGCGAGGAGGACCGGCTGCTGGCGGCGCGTGACGGGCACGACCGGCGGCCGCGCGACAGCGACGACAGTGGGGGCAGCCAGCAGGAGGAGGCGCCGGACGAGCTGGACGGCGAGACCGGCAACGAAGACGAGGACGAGGAGCAGGAGGGCTAACTAAGTCAGGAGTCACCTGATGCTGAGGAGTAGGGGAGTGAAGATAATGAACTTGAAGCATAGCTGACTGAGTATGTGGGATGCTGTGCTGTGTTGTATTGTATGCACTGCTGTTCATACCTTTGTTGGCACAAATAATATGATATTAATACAATGAAAAGAAATGCTTCTGACACATGTAAGACTCCATTGCAAGGCACAATCCAGTCAATGAGACAAATATTTTCAATCTATGTGAGCCAAACTTGGAGATCATAGATATGACAGATAAAACCAGACAGTATATGGAAAGCACACATACATGTGTGAGCTGCACAGTGTAACTCCACCACACATTGAATGCTTGACAATGCACACTGTTGAAAAAGCCACATCCCAAATGTGAGCTGGCCCAATGATGAGGAAATGATCTGATTTAAAGCTCAATGATCACATTTTTGCATCTGATTGGAATGTCATACCTGAACATAACTTTCACAGATATTGTAACATCTCATCCTTGAATTCACACACACTAAAATTTGACTGTGCTAAAAATCGGTATGATTTCATGTACATTTTTAGCACTATTGAATTTCAAACACAGAGCAATTATCCAGGGCATATGCAAATGAGCATATTTCTGATACTTCTCCCTTTTTGCCATCTTCATGGTCTCAGGTAGCTGTCATCCAGAGACACTGGGTACAAGCCCCAGAGTGGGCACATTGCTTGGCTTGACTAAAATGGAAATGTCAACTGGCAACTGACCAATGCTGGTCAACCAGGCCTATGCTGCAGTGTTGTGCAGCATGTAAAACCATCCACATTCCTGTCTAGTGAAAGGGAGGGGGGAAAGTCTTATCTGCTGTGCTAGATGGTACAACCTGGGTGGTGGGTTCAGGGTTCATGCAAAAAGTTATGCTTAGCAGGTGCACTGAACCCAAAGCCATCAATGCATACCATTCAGCTTAATGTATAAAAAAGATGGTCATATGCATTTATTCATTTTAATTCCCCTGACAGAGATGGTTTTCTGGCTGCTGTTGGTGGTAATGGCTCTGTATGCAGCATTGTGACACATAAGCCTTTCAGTGCAAAACTTTGCTTTTGACCCAACTCATTGATCCAGAACTCCATGCTTGGATGTTGAGGTATGACCTTACATAGCAAGGAGTCTTGAAAGGACTTGGGCACTGTCCACTGATCCCGGAAGTTTAACCAATCATGAGGTTAAAATGCATCTATAAAGATCAAACAAAGTGAATGCAAAGCAACCCAGTTGAGAGGTTAAGATGTAGGAATTTCAGCATTGGGGCAAATCATAAACCTTATTGCATCATAGGAATTATTTGTCCCCTAGTGGCCAATCTCATAACTAATCTCACACATTGAAGCATAACAAGAAGTTGTGCACATGGTGCTTTTCATAAGGATCATCCACTCATATAATATAAAGGAATTTGCATTGTCATACTAAAAGTTGATCTGATCAAGCTGCTTCAGAGTATCAGAAATGGTAGTATTGTTCTCTTTCATCTGTGGTTCTAAGATACATGAATTAATGGATCTCAGATGCAGCCTTTCTCAGAAGCACATGCCAGGTATTGGTAAATCATACTAACCATTGAGTGATAACTAAAAAGGAAACTGAAATCAATTTTTCAAGTTAATAATAACCAGTCTAAAAATATCTTACCTACTAGGTTCCATAAGACATCAAAGGTAAATCAGGGCACAACAATAATCTATTCAGCAATACTTCAGAGCAGGTGCTGTTTACCAGTTTACTCAACATGAATGGGGAGGTTTTTCATTAACTGTACACAGCCTACAAACATGTAGCAAGGAAGGGAGGAGCAGTTTATGCAAAATATGATGTCATGTTCAGGAAAAGGTGTGAAACAAGATAAAGCCTTCACAAACCCTTTAAAAACAGTCTTCATATTGGATGCTATTGGCTTCCTCTCATGGCAAGGAGCATGCCAAAGTGTTTTCTGTCTCAAAATCAATCAGGGCCAAAATGGAACTTACATTATGCTGGTGCTACATGTAACAGGGCATAGCCAGTAAGAGGAGAGGGGTCATCCATCATAATTCTGTTCCATTTTCTTTTGTTTCACCCAGCATAACCAGTGTGCACCTAGCATGTACAAACCACCCTAACCACGCATTCTGATGACAGCTGCAGTGAGTGAAGAAGTGATACAGCAATCACAAATTATAACAATGAAAACTAATTCACTATACTTCAAACATCATGAGATGGAATTACTGGACAACAGTTCCATACAAATCCAGCGAGTGAGTAGATTTCTGACCTCAAATTTTGCATCAAGGACCAAAACCTTTCTCAAACTTAACAAACGAACCTTTCTAGAATCACCTCCACCTACACACTTTTCCCAGATATCATTACCCCGGAGCGCCACTCCCACCTACCAGTCCCCTGGCCACCGCAACGCTCTACAGATAGCCTTGCGCCCCACGCGTCAGAGGCGCTGCAGATCTCGATTGTTCACTCCTCGCCATTTCACGCCGCGGCAGAATGGATTTCAGTTGCTTAAAGTACTGCAGTATTACCGCAATCACACATAACGAGGCCCACTCAGATATTACACAACCATTCTTACTAATTTCATCTCCCTACACAGTTTACGCACTCGATATGTAGAAAACCTTCTTTACCCTGATTTTACTGCGTTAACCCAATATTCCAACAGAGTGACGTTTTTGGTTTCCAATTGAACTGGAGGTGTGAAACAGAGATGACCGTGGTGTTAATCATAAGAGAAACCCAATGATGCGTGGTCTTAGAATTATTACTTTTATGGCTAACCACCCTACTTAAGCGAACGTTATGCCGCCAAAGCCCCTCCCCCGTATGCTGTGCTTTAATCACATTTCATAAATCTCTCCCCTCTATCCATAACGTATAGATTGATGACCTTTCTCAATAAATTTGGGCTTTCATCATCATAATGAACAAAAAATCATATTTGCATGCCTTTCACGATTCGAGCATCTGAAAATCTTATTGTTGTTTGCTGAATTCCAGTCACAGTGATTAAGATGCATAGATTTAAAAGCATATGCAACCATTAGAAGCAGCCCCTGTTTCATTGCAGTACAAAATTTGAGCATACGTATTTGAGGATAGGTACGCTAAAATTCAGTCATTTCAATTTAATAGAACTTAGCGATGTCATGGCAGATACCTTAAAGCATTACTTTAAGAACAAGTTAGGGCTGCGCAAAAGATCGCCGCCATTTCACACTCCTTGAGTTTGTTGATTCCGACCAATTTCTCGGCCATTTCCGGACTGGGCTTGCGTTGGGTGCCGTGGAAAGGTTGGGGATACTATCAGGATTTGTGCTCAAAGTATTTCAATTATAGCAGCCGGCTCGGGGGTGTAATTCTCCCTTGTCCATCGCTGTTTGAATCAGATAGATGGAGATAATTGACTTTTATGATTTAGTTGTGTTGAAGCAGTTTGATGCGTGGTGCTTGTCTGGATTCGAGAACACTCATACGCACAGCTGGGCCTCGAAGCCCACGCTGTTGTGAAGTGGTAACATGGAGAGCTAATGTGAAGAGCGTATTGAAGCCCAACTAGGAGCTTACGTGCTTGGTATTAGAAAGCTTGAAATGACGTAAAGAGGCGACAATTGCGCATTCATATGTGTGTGGGGTGCATGTGTGTGGTTAAAACTGATGAACTGGTTTACAAAAAATATATGTGCTCTGCTGGATGCCCTTGGAGCATAAGTGTGCTGAACATGTCAAGCTGAGGCCAGGCCAAATTGCAGTGCATGTTCAAGCTTTATTTTGAAAGGAAGATGGGAATATTCATGATCTATATGAAATCATGGGATCCCAGTGTGCTAGGATTGATGGTGTCTGTGCATCAAACTTAGAGTGTTGGTATTTACAACATGTATGTGCTGAAATTGATGCTACAGTGCTGTTGCATCACTGAACATGGAAAAGCAGGGTTTTTTAAAGTGAGGATAAAAATTGAATTTCAGAACATTTTGCATGGTATGTTAGTGTTGAGCATCAAACATTACGCAAATATAACTTGCCAAGCTAATACAGACTGCTCTGGCTTAAAATACTCATATTAATTTATTGTCCCTTTTGTAAGATCACAAGTTTGCATGAGATATTTAATTGCATCAATTATTATACATTTATTATTTTGTTCTTTGTATTCTTAAGTTTACTTAAGAAATTCCACAGAAGCTGTTGTAATATTTGTTGCAAATGCAAGACTATAATTCAAAGTGCATTTAAGACAGCTTACATCAAAATGCCTCTAAAATACACAGATATAGATATGTTTCATGTCCAAATGTTACTGGTCATAGTGCAATCATGGTCCCGTAGATAAAAAAGTACGCTCTAATGCAAGTGCTTAATAGCTGACTAAGAAAATGCTCATTACAGTCATTATTAATCCAACTGCCTGGCATAGTCCTTGTACATGTATTCTGCCACTTATGTGATATTTTATGTGCATTAATTTTATCCCTGAGGCTTTCCATAAGATCTCTTAAACAAATCACATTTTTCTGCAAGTTCAGCTGATGTGGGAAGCAAAGTGCCCAAACTCCCTCCTTATTATTCCTAGATCCAGCTCTTAAACTTACATGCATTACGCATTATCAAAATGCAATCAGCCAGGAAGCAGTAAGTCATGCTAGAACTCAGTTACAATCTGACATGGTCTGGTTGCAGGAAAAAAGCCATGTATGACACATTCACCCTGAATATCCTGTGATTCATTTTATCTCATCATTTTTTGTTAAAAATTGTTATCTAAACCCTTTGAATTGATGGATTCCTGGGATCAGGGCCCACACCAAGGAGCACTTGCTGTGAGCTCTTTCCACTGTCCTGACCCCCTTCCATCTGATGGCACAAAAACAGATCAGCTGCAGAATTTGATGGCGAAAGTTTGACATGCGGCATTGGTGGGCCGGCTGTTGATCCTGCCCTCTAAGATTACCTTACCTCATGTGTGGCTGCTGCCACCAGCTACATGTCATCTGTTAATGGCAAATAGCACCTGAAAGGACTAGAACCCGTCTTGCCACTGTGGGTGGATTGGTAGGTGCTCTAACCGACTGGGCCATCAGAATGGACTAAACATGCCTCCCAGAATCCATTTTGAGGTGGTCTCTGATTTATATCAGATGCTGTGATTTTAATGACTCATTTCAAGCTTGCGTTTAAGAAAATGAAAGCGATGGTTAGCATTTGGGCTTGAACTGTCTGAAATGTAGATGCAAAAAGCATTGGGGGGGGGGGGGGGGGGGGGTGGACAGCAATGTGACTGCTGTGGGATCAAAAAGCTCACATCTGCTGGAGCTACTCACCTCCTTGTAAGGCATAACAGTGGTAATAGGTTTGGGTGTGATCTTAGTTGTTCTCTTCACAAAATTAAACTGCTTATTAGGAAATGGGGATTGCAAGATGCACAGACCAGAAAATGTGAATTATTGAATCTTATTTTGCCTCCCAAAATCCATTTTTGGAGTTGTCTGAATTGTATTAGATGCCATATTTTTTCTAAGTCATATCAAGTTTGCTCCTAAGAAAATTCATAGACACCTATGACTTCTGGCTTGGAATACTTGAAAGGTAGTTGTAAAAGTGATTTTTTTTGGTGGGGGAGGGGGCAACACAACCCTTGTAAAATTAAATAATTCACATCTGCTAGAGCTGTTTGCCCACTTGTTTATGTCTAACAGTGTTAATATGTTGGGTGTGATCCTTATTATTCCAGTCATAGCATATAATTTACAATATCAACCTGCAAATTGTAAAATTATCAACTCAGGAAGTGTGATTTGTTTTATCTCAGTATACCTCTTAGAGTCCATTTTTGGAATGTGATGAATAATGAGCAGAATCACAGAATCCTCCTCAAGTGCTCAATGGGCATGGAATTCTGTATGATGAAATGAAGTGTGAAGCACTCATACAAAATGTGCTTCAAATACAAACAACTTGTGCAGCATGCACAGAAAGTATACTGCAATATGCTGAGTAGTATGTATTTGAGCAAAAAGGGCCTTTGCCTAGATTAGATCTTACCTGAAATGGCATTGCCATGTAAACAACTGATACACACTCTGCACAGCATAATCAAGATGAAAGCTGAAAGTGGTTTCCATTTTTGTAGCCATGGTTGCAGGGACTCATTTCCATGTGCTGTATGCTTAGGTAAGGATATGGTATATATAAGTGTACTGTACTCACAACAACCCTTCACAACAATGCAAGAGGTTTTGCTTCTGGAAGAGTATTAATCCTCATTGCTAGGATGTTAACAGCTCTGTGTGATACAGTGAGCCAAGTACATTTTGTTTTAGAAGTTGTAATACATGAATTGTGAAATTGATGCCCAGAGCATCACTATGGGGGGCAGGCAGAGTGTTGTGCCACCATGAAATATTGTGTTGCCCCCCCCCCCCCCCCCCAGTTTATGATTTAGTTGTGTTCATGGCCTGATCTCCCAAATCATGGTTATAGTGTTCCCTCTTTGAGCATCAGGGCTCCTTTGAGCATTGACTTCCCTTTGTGACATGAAATACTTGTACATGGTATTGAAAATAGTTTTGTAGAACATTGATAAATATTGACACAGTTTTGTCACGTGACAGGAAAAAAGAACATTAAATTGTTGGCAAAATGTCAGCATTCATTGACTCTGAAGCGTCGGAGGGAGAGGATGAAGAGGAGCTGACAGCAAGGGAAAAGAAGAAATTAAAGAAAATGAAGCAGCATCGGCTGCAAGACTCATCAGAGGAGGAGGAAGGTGATGTATCAACCATGCATAGCAATGATAATTATTTATAAATCTAAATCATGCCAAAAGACAAAACAGCTGTGTTATCCATGTGTTCAAGGCCAAACAAATGTTTTTATGTTGCATTTATACTGGTGTATGGGTGCACAGGATTGAATTATGCTGAAGTAGTCCCTCCACCTTGTTAACTTATGATGTGAATGATGAAACCAGTAGGAAGTCCTAGGCAAGTCCCCTAGACACCAGTCTTATCCTAACATGCAGTTCCTGAGGCAGGAATTCTCAGTGCATGTTCCTGGCATGACCGTCACAGCTCGTTGATGACACCAGCGTCACATGTGATGTTCCACTGGCCATCGCTAACGGTGCTCCCCGACTCTGACACCCGCCACTGGCCACCCTGACACCCGCGTTCCAGCTTCAACGCCCCCTGGCCTGACCCACAGACGACGAGGAGGCGATGCGGGAGGAGATGAAGGACCTGATCGACGACAACCCGATTGACGACGAGGGAGACGACGAGAGCGACAGCTCGTCGGACGGCGACGGCTCTGGTGACGGCGGGCGCGGCGGCGCGCGCAAACGCTCGCGCGAGGACGACGACTTGGACGACGCGCTCGAGGATGACGACTATGACCTCATTGAGGAGAACCTGGGGGTCAAAGTCAAACGGGTGAGTGCGGCGCATTCAAGGGAGTGGTTTGGCGCTTTTTTGTTATGGTGGTTTTGGGATGCTTTTCTCAAGTGATGTTTTTTGTCGCTGCCTTTAGAAACGTTCCACGGTGGCTTGTTAATAATTGTCATCTGTTTTTCCCTTTATTGTAGCACAGCAGAGTTATAAAGCTTGCTGTGGTATGCAGGTGGTATTATCTCCAGCTTGTGGTTAATCTCATATATTTATACATATGGCAGCACAGATATGTAAGCATACATGGCACCACCATGGATTTTTGGAACATTTTTCATCTCCTTGGTTATTTTTTGTGCATGATTTTTCCTTTGTCTTTCTATGTGGACCAGCTGCCTCACATTTTCACATTAGCGGCCGAAACGCAGCGGAGAAGTGCTGGCGACCATGGTGCGAGCTTCGTCCCCGTGATCTCCCGGCAGGCTGGGCTCTCTCACGATCTCTCAGCAGGCTGGGCTGTCTCGTGATCTCTCGGCAGACTGGGCTGTCTCATGATCTCTCTCAGTGGGCTGGGTTGTCTGGTGATCTCTCAGTAGGCTAGACTGTCTGGTGATCTCTCAGCAGGCTGGGTTGTCTTGTGATCTCCCAGCAGACTGCACTGTCTGGTGATCTCCCAGCAGACTGCGCTGTCTCGTGATCTCCCAGCAGACTGGGCTGTCTCATGATCTCTCAGCAGGCTGGGTTGTCTTGTGATCTCCCAGCAGACTGCGCTGTCTGGTGATCTCCCAGCAGATTGCGCTGTCTCGTGATCTCCCAGCAGGCCGGGCTGTCCCATGTTTCAGAAGCAGCTGAAGCGCATCCGTCGCATCTCCGACTCGGACGACGAGAAGGACCGGGACGAGTCGGCGGACGTGAGTAGCGCCAGCCACTCGGGTCCCACGCCGCTCTGAACAGACGGGGCTCCCTTGTGTCCCGTGTATAGCACTGGTCATCTCTTCTGTCACCCCTGTCAGCTCTAACACATAGTCAAGTGTGATGCAGCAACCCATTTAACTGGGCCCACGCAATGCAGCAGCTGCCTGCGTGGAGGAATCTATTGCAACGTTTCGCGGCTTCAACGCGAAATTCGTCTTGTTACGCTGTGTGAGAAGTGTTGGATGCTCCTGCGTCTCATGTATTGGAGGCGTAAGCTGGTTAGAGGCAGCGATGGTGTTGCAACCAGCGCTTGCTTGGCGTGGGATGTGTCAGCCGGCTGTTGGGTGCGTCAACCCGGCAATGCCTGTGCAGCCGGACCCGGCTCCGGGCTGACGGTGCCCGCGGCTGACGGTGGGGTCAGCCCCCGTCTGGCGCGGTCATTGGACGCACGCTGACGCGTCCCGGCACGCCGGCAGGAGGGTCGCGCGCCGTCAGAGAGCCGCGACGCCGGCGAGCATGACGAGCGGCCGCCGCCGATCGATGGAGAGCCCGACGACGACGAGGTGGAGGACGAGGAGGACGTCGACGACTTCCTCGTGGATGAGGACGGCAAGCCGCTCTCCAAGGGACCCAAGAAGAAGAAACACATCTTCAAGGACGCGTGAGTGTTCAGCTGTCGGGGCGGTCGTCTGAGTTACCTGTCCTTTTGTGCGAGGGCTTTAATGAACAGCTGGCGGCTCCACTAGCGTATCCACCTGGCTGGAACATGTCCATGCATAAGGATAATTTAGGTGTTTGATATGAACACGGTCAGAAAGCCGGATTCCTGGAGATGTACCGTTGATGGAGTTAAAACTTGTGCTATCGGTTGGTTTCTGGGTATTTAAACCGATCCGATTCGAATCTTGCGAGCTCTTGAATCCCGAAACAGAGGTTGGACCCCTGAGAATCTGGACGCCAATCTTTCAGCATTTGGCAATGATAAATGGTGTCTAAAATTAGGAATAAGGTCATTGTTCCAAAAGCCATTATTCAGGCATGCAAATATTTGTTATTGAAATGTGCTCTTGGATCCAGGCCTCAAGTACACTAAATGTAGCACGTAAATATCTTTCCAACATGAGGCTGAATCACCTGTCTCGTGTTTTAGTACATATATGACGTCTGCCATCTTGTGGCGACGTGAGGAATGCGCCACAGGTGCGCTGGCAGAAGCACTAGGAAGTTAACCAGAAGCCTGCAAAACGAGCGTTTAGAAGGGGAGCCGCGTGACGTCACAGGTTCCTATATTCCGATGCCGATGCAGTCAAAGTTGCTCAAGCTGCGCTTTTCGTTCCATATGATGTGCATACGTAGGGCATCGTAGTTATGTGCAGACTCAATATCTGGACCCAAATGTTCAATGAGAACCATTGTTATACGTTATCAGAACTACGATGCGCCATTCCTAGGTCTATGCGACGTATCTGTTTGGCTGAACTGCGCTTAATATCACAAAATACAGTCTCTGATCTAGATAATGGCTCGCATTCATTTCAGTGCACTGCAAGAGGCCCAGGACATCTTCGGCGTCGACTTCGACTTTGACGAGTTCGACAAGTACGCCGGCGAGGAGGAGAGCGAGCCGGACGACGAAGGCATCGAGGAAGACGACCCGGACGCCTCCAAGAAGCGCACCAGGAAGAAGGCGGCCAAGAAGAAGTCCATCTATGAGCTCTACGAGCCCAGCGAGCTGGAGCGGGGACACTTCACCGACCTGGACAACGAGGTGAGCCGGCTGTCACTGGGACTGGACCCTACCGGCTAGGCGAGCTTGTCAGTCTCCGCTGCTGCGGGCCTGTGGTGTCGCGGCTGCTGCTGACAGTGGGCCACAGTTTGTGTTCAAGCGTCGAAGGCCGCACGTCAGGTCCATCTGAGATGGATAGATTGGATCAAGTTTGCTAACTACTCGAGGTGTAGACAGAAATGTCGCCAAATTTTTGTCGCGCAGTTTTACTCGCTCCGTTAACCCGGGTCAAGAACGCAAAGGCGGCAAACTGCTGGCATGTCCAAGTTTTTAGGCAGATCTCTAATGAGGAATGTCATTTATCATTATCATTACCTGATGTTAACTGTGAACTTTGAAGTAACTGAGCTACAGTGCAAAGCCGCCCTGTGTGCTGCGGTGCTGACCTGACCTCTGCGGAAACCAGCCGGGCGGTGCGGAGCTGTTTTGAGCTCCGCGTACGGCTGTGCCGTGCCGCGTGTCTCCGGCGCCGTGTGTGCGTACGTGCCGATGTGAGCCGGGCCGCGTCCCGCGTGCTCCAGATCCGGCAGACGGACATACCGGAGCGGATGCAGCTGCGCACCGTGCCCGTCACGCCCACCGAGCTCGGCTCGGAGGACCCGGAGCTCGACGCCGAGGCCGAGTGGATCTTCCGGCACGCTTTCAACGACAAGCCCATCAGCGCTCAGGTGCGCCGCCGGCGGCCGGACCTCCCCGCCGGCGTCCTTCGTCGCCGGCGGCCGGGCCTCCCCGCCGGCGTCCCTCACCGCCGGACGGCCGGACGGCCAGTCGCTAGGTCGCGGCTGTTGTTTTTGAATAAAGGGCTTTAGCGGAGCGTGACGGGCACCAGGGCCTTCCCGTTCGACTGTTACGCCCGTGTTTTGTGCTTATGATGATGTGTCGGTGTTGCGTCGGTTGTGGTCTTTTGAGGGTGCGCGGATTTCTCACTATGTGCCCTTCCAGCCGTTCGCGGCGCTGGATGGAACCTGGTGCGCAAGATGAGATTGTAGGCATACATGTGTTCGTAATATAGCTTCACGGGCTGTACACGCGCGTAGTTCAGTGACGAGCCATAGACTGGCATTATTTGACTGTTGATCACCGCAGAGCAAGGATGACGACGACGAGTTCCGGGACAAGATTCGCCAGAGCAGTTCGTCGGTGAGCAAGATCAAGTCGGCGCTGGACTTTATGCGGAACAAGCACCTGGAGGTGCCGTTCATCGCGTCTTACAAGAAGGAGTACATCGTGCCCGAGCTGACCTCCAACGCCCTGTGGAGGGTGTACAAGTGGGACGAGAAGGTGCGTGCTTCACTGCCGGACTGATGGGCGGGAATGTGCGAATGCGGTCAGCGTCTGTTCGCCGGGTTTGACACGATAATGGGCCACGCATGCTGGGAACCATTGTGAGCAATGATGGGCTGACAAGTAGTAAAGGGGACTTGAATTCTGTTTTACAGTCGCGCATTCCGTGTTGTATAGCCCGGCCGCCAATGTGAGAAGCTGCGTCGGTTATGATCCATGACCCAGGCGGCCCAGGCGCGAACAGGCAGTTTTGCCCAGCGAGCCAATTGAATATCGGTGTCCCACAAACAAGTGAGGCCGCCTTGCGCCAATGTCATTTACATCTTGCTGTGGCTAGTTCCGGAACGCGCTTCATTCGAAAGTAAGACAATTTTAAAAAGCTATTTCAGAGCAGATGAGACTGGAGGCGCGCGTGTATCCACCGTGGCTGTCCTGTGCCGCCAGTGGTGCCAACTTCAGCGCCGCAAGCAGAACATGGTGCGCTTGCTGGAGAGGATGCAGGCCTACCAGGGTGACCTGGTGATGAAGGACATCAACGCCGCGCTGCCGGACGGCATGCGCGTCCTCTCGAGTGACGACGTCGACAGGTTTGTCGGGGAGACGTGGCTGGTCGCTGCTGCTGGCATGTTCCGGGGGCGGCAACGTCAGTGTTTGCTGTATGTTTTTCTCGTCTTGCCAGTGGCGATTAGGTCTTTTCGGCCTGTGCTGTGTTTCTGCCGTGGTGAAAGTGCGAGATGGGCGCGTAACCCCACGTGCACTTGAATTGAAAACGGCAGAGTTGACGGCAGCGGACATTGCGCGTTGGCTGATATTACAGCTGATGTCTTGCTGGGGTAATATATTTTGCTCTGTCCAAATGTTGAGACGCTTTGTGAGCATTCTCTGCGACGGTCACGTGACCTTCGATGCCCGTCCACTCACTGAAATCGGGATTATTTTGGTGATGAAATACACCGCATATTGTGCAGCGCCTCAAAGATGTACGGAACTTATTGTTGGGAATTTTACATCGGTGTTCTCATATGGCACCCAATTTATTTGAGCGGAATTCATGTATCTTTGGGACTTGGTGTCTTCCCCATTTCACACCTCAGCTTCAGACCAGACGTAATGAATCCAACGTAAACTGTTAAGGGTGGCGGCGGTTGGTGCCCTGCGTACCTGCAGGTGGCGGCTGCGCACTCAGGCCGGGCTAGCGGTGGTACATAACAGAATGCGATGGTCTACTCATATGCCGCCCGTAAAGTAGTGAAATATGACGCGCGTAAAAGTGGATGGCTGACTGCTTTGGATGGGTGGAGTTCGGTTCAGAATGCATGCCAGTGAGAGCGCACTGCTTATACGCAGAACCCACCAACCAAACTGGTACACTCTAGTCGGACAGGTGATTTATCCCCGGCATTTTGGCTGGACGGCATCATGGTTTGTTCATGCCATGAAAAGCTATGACACGACGATCCTCTGATCCTTTATTATGGCATCGTTTGTTCCAGGGTGAAGTTGGCTGATTCCCCGGAGGAGCTGCAGGACATCTACATGCACTTCCGCATGTACTACGGCCAGGACGTGGCTGCTATGCACGAGCATGATATGAGGAAGAAGATGGAGGAGAAGAAGGCTGCGCCCAAAAAGAAGCGCACTGTAAGCAGCAGTGGAATCAATTTGATTTTAGTGTGTGTTGAGAGCTAAAATGCTTCTAGAACTCTCGTCAGTTGTTCGCTGTCATCAAACGCGCGGTGTATCTGTCTCCTGGCTCATGGTCCAGGTTGTCTGGTTTCCTGTAGTAGGCGCGTTTTTATAGCAAATGTCGGTTGGTGGCATGCTGTGTGTGCTTGAAGTCATGCATATGGATGCGTTTATTCTTGAATTTTAGTGTTTGTATTTACCGCCACTTTCCATTTTTCCTTCAGAAGCATATGCCTTCTTGTCCATATGCTTATTCTGCAGACATCTCCCGACTTCATTGAATAAAAGTATCCCCTCCCCCCCCCCCCCCATAATTATACGGCAGGCGCTTGTTCTTTTCCGTTCCCCGCACATAAATCATTGCTCTGAAGTAGCAGGTGTCGATAAAAAAATGGAAATGGTGTCTACTTGCGTGCTTGTATCATACTGATGTTTTCGAGCCTGTTTCTGTTGAAAGGAAGGTGTTATAAGCAAAAAGGTGATGTTTTCGCTTTTTTCAAGTTTTCAGATCTGCTTGCATAAGAGCTTTCAAGAAATCACTTTTGGTTATTGATTTACCTTATAACACACTTTTAATAACATAGTATTTATTCCGTGAGTTATACCCTTCAAACGTCCTATGACTCACCGCTTCATGTTTTGTTTGATTTCGTAGGAAACCCGCATAGAAACGAATGAAGAAGGCGAAGAAGTTGAAGTAGAAGTAGAGGTGACGGATGACGAGGCTGAACAAAAGGACGATGAGGACGACCGCGAATTCCTGAAATACGCCGTCAGAACGGACGCATATGGACTTTGCAAAAGAAACGGACTGGGTACGTCTCAAACTCTGCGTCTGCGGACCGAGTTACGGGGACCCACTGAGCACCCGCCACTTCACCAGGCTTGCTAAGTGGTGTGATGTTATTGTCATCGCCGCGGGACGGGCGCCACTCGATGACTGAACTCCGGGCCCGTATGTGCATTTGGCGCGCCGTGCGTCAGCCGGACGTGTCTTGTCTCGAGTCCAGTTCGTGATGCGGCAAAGGCGGAGAGCGGAGCGCTATCTTTGTTCAATGCTTTCAACCAGTGGGCGTCTCAGCGTCCTCGCAGTGTTCCGAGAGAAGCGTGCGCTGGTTCCTATGGGTGTCGTTGGAAGCGAGCACTGCAGAAAGGCGCTCTCTAACCTCTGTAATAACCTCCAACCTGTTTAATAACAAGTGCCGGTGCGTGTGGCTGCGGCGTCGCCTGGCGCCCGTCACCGGGCCGTCTCCGTCCGCGGGGTGCCGGTTCGGCCGCTGACGGCTGGCGACGCCCCGCAGAGCCGCTGTCCCGCCGGTTCGGCCTCACGCCGGAGCAGTTCTCGGAGAACCTGCGCGACACTTACCAGCGCCACGAGGTGGAGCAGCACCCGGTCGAACCCGAGGAGATGGCGCAGGACTACATGACCGGGTGAGGCGGACCGCGGCCACGCACCGGCCGGCGGCCAGCGGGTCCAACGGCGCCCGGCAGCCGCGGCGCCGACTGTGGCATGGCTCTCTGACGCGTTTTGTCGGACACTAGTGGAAATACGGCGGAAGTTTTGCTTGGCGTTGTTGCGTTTTTACACGTCCCATGTATTTGTTGTTTGCTATATTTAACTTGTTGTCTTTTCATGTCTCTTGTATTCTTGTTTGCTTTCGTTACATGCACATGATCTATCCGCTCAGCTGTGCCCGTGCGTACTCAAGCGTGCGGGCTCTACGTGACCTGTCGTCGGTGATTACGGCGGTATCACCCGGTCACAGGAATCTGGCGACGGCCCAGGACGTGCTGAAGGCCGCCAAGTTCATGGTGGCGAGTCAGATATCGTGCGAGCCCCTGGTGCGCAAGTGCGTGCGCGAGATGTTCTACAGCTCGGCTCGAATCAGCGTCAAGCCTACTAAGAAGGGCATGAAGGAGATCGACGAGAGCCACTACGCCTTCACGTGAGGAACTCCCGCGATAGTCGCTGTTGAGACCGCCGCCGGGCTGTCTATGCTGCTACAATCTAACAAGCTATGTGGTACCGATTGCAGTCCATCGATCGATCGCACCAGTTGCATGCGTCGGTTCAACTGTGTTTAGTGTTCCGCGTTCGGCTGCGCGCGGGCTGATAATGTATGTCGTTGAAACGGCATGGCTTCGTGCATACCTCTTAAATTTGAGGATTGTGAGCCACTGGACGTCTTCTGCATGAATTGTTAATCTTCTTGTCACGCTTGAGCTGATCCCGCCCTCCTCCCGAATGCGGTGGCGTTCAGTACCGGTGATGCGGGAGCGCCCTGCATCAGGCGTCCTGTCTGGCCCGTGTGTGTTTGACGCCGGGACATGTGGTCGTCGCAGCATGAAGTACATGAAAGACAAGCCAGTGAGCTCGCTGAGGGACGACCAGTTCCTGAAGCTGCACATGGCCGAGGAGGAGAAACTGCTGGTGATCGACCTCGGTTCCAAGATCACCAACTACGCCGGACAGAACTACGTCGACGAGGCCAAGGGCCTCTACTGCAGGGTAAGTCGCGCGTCGGGCCGACGTCGCCCCTGGCTGTCAACAGGCAATGGCTGTTTCGCATTGTTTTGGACGCGGTCATGCCACGATAGCATGACAGATGATAAAAGAAGTGAGCGGCTTGAAAGCTCCCCGCCCAAAGGAGGGTAACGTGACGACACTTCTGAGCAACTGGGTTTGCGGCCAGCTCGCTGGTTGATGTACGGCATTCTCGAAGATCTCGATCGCTGTTGGCCAGTATGCTGTATAGAGCGCAATGTAGCTTGCATAAGAACTGGATGAGAGTCGAAGACGTTCCAGGCATAAGTCTTTTTCAGTGTTTCGTTTAGTTTTGTGATTCTACTGTGACGGAAGGTGGATTATGACTGAAAGGATTTGGGCCTGAATGTATGCTGGGAAGAAAGACGGCTTGTGTGGCTGACGCGTCTGCTGGTGCCTGTGCCGGTGTATCGCTTCAGTAGTCACGCATCACTCCGTGTCGAATGCAGGACAGCAACCTTTCCAAAGACCTGCGAATGACATTTGATTTGGAACGCGAACCGGTTTAACAGCCGACAAGTTGACTTGAACTGTCATTTTCATGTCGAGTAAGTCGTGAAAGATGTGTGGTGTCCTTACTGTCCCCCCCCCCCCTCCCTTCTTCTCCATGCCCGACTCTGCTGACTGCGGGTCGTGCTCTGATCACCGCCCCCCCCCCCCCCCTCGCTGGTAACCTGACGTGGACCTCCCGCAGGACGAGTTCAGCAAGACGGTGCAGAAGTGGAACGAGCTGCGCGGCGAGTGCGTGGAGCTGGCGCTGACGCAGATGATGTTCCCGGCGCTGCGCAAGGAGCTGCGCACGCGCCTGCTGCAGGAGGCCCGCGAGTTCGTGCTGCGCCAGGTGCGGCGGCGCCTCTTCAACTGGCTCTCGATCGCGCCGTACACGGCCTCCTTCCCGGACGAGGACGAGGACGAGTGGGACTGCTCGGACGGCGTGCGTGTGCTAGCCGTGGCCTACGAGACGGACCCGTCGACGGCCGACTACGCCTGCATGGTGGGCGCCGACGGCGAGGTCACCGACTTCCTCAAGCTGCAGCACCTGATGAAGCGGAAGGACGCGTGGCGGGAGGCCGACCGACTCGGCAAGGAGGCCGACCTCGACGCCATCCGCCAGCTGGTGGAGGCCAAGAAGCCGCACGTGATCGTGGTGGGCGGCGAGTCGCGCGAGGCGGTCACGCTGGCCGAGGAGCTGCGCGCCCTGGTGCAGACGCTGGTCGCCGAGAACCAGTTCCCGGCCATTCAGGTGGAGATCCTCGACAACGAGCTGGCCAAGGTGTATGCCAACAGTGTCAAGGGCGTGAGCGACTTCCGCGACTATCCGGAGCTGCTGCGGCAGGCGGTGTCGCTGGCGCGTCGCCTGCAGGACCCGCTCATGGAGTTCGCGCAGCTGTGTAATGCCGAGGAGGAGTGTCTCTGCCTGCGCTATCACTCGCTGCAGGAGCAGCTGCCGCGCGACCAGCTGCTGGAGACCGTGCAGATCGAGTTCATCAACCGCACCAACGAGGTGGGCGTCGACGTGAACCTGGCGCTGGCCAACCCGTACGCGTCGCCGCTGGTGCAGTTCGTCTGCGGCCTGGGCGTGCGCAAGGCGGCCACGCTGCTCAAGACGCTGAAGCAGACGAGCCAGCGGCTGGCCAACCGCACCGAGCTTGTCACCGACTGCCACTTGGGGCCCAAGATCCTGACAAACTGCGCCGGCTTCATCAAGATCAACGCCAACTCGCTGGGCGACATCACAGACCGCTACACGGACCTGCTGGACGGCACTCGTATCCACCTGGAAACGTATGAGTGGGCGCGCAAGATGGCCGTCGATGCGCTCGAGTACGACGACGAGGACGGCAACCCGGCCGGCGCACTCGAGGAGATTATCGACAACCCCGAGCGGCTCAAGGACCTGGACCTGGACGCCTTCGCCGAGGAGCTGGAGCGCCAGGGGCTCGGCAACCGCTCCATCACGCTCTACGACATCCGGGCCGAGCTGAACGACCGCTACAAGGACCTGCGCACGCCGTACATGTCGCCTGACCCGCTGGAGCTCTTCAATATGCTGACCAAGGAGACGCCCGACACGCTGTACAAGGGCAAGCTGTTGCTGAGCACCGTCACCGGCTTCACCAGGCGCAAGCCCAAGCCGGAGCAGATGAACCAGGACAACCCGGTGCGCGACACGGATACCGGGCTCTGGCAGTGCCCGTTCTGCCTGAAGAAGGACTTCCCCGAGCTTTCCGAGGTGTGGTCACACTTCGACACGAACGCGTGTCCGGGCAAGGCGATCGGCGTACGCATCAGGCTGGACAACGGCTGCTCGGGCTTCATTCAGATGAAGAACCTGTCCGACAACCGCGTCACCAACCCCGAAGACCGCGTCCATCCGGGCCAGACCATCTTCTGCCGCGTGGTCAAGATCGACATCGAGAAGTTCTGGGTCGAGTGCACGTGCAAGTCGTCCGACCTGGCCGATAAGAACAAGGAGTGGAGGTGAGTGCTGCCGAACGACGGGAGGGTCGAGCCGCCTCCATTGATCGGGTGAGTCAAGTCGAATTGCGTGAAAATGCTCTTTGGAACCAGTTTATCTTGCGCTGTTTGTACCGTGGGTAGTTACATTCGTTCGTAAGTATGCCATCGGGCCTGTAAAGCTTCGGTTACTCGGAAGGGTTACGCACTTCTTAATGTGCTAGTGTGGAACTGTGGCTTAAACTGTTCTGTTGTAGCGCCTTCCCTCCGCTTTGGTAGCCCTGTGATAAGTTGTTCCCCTTATTGCTTGTCCATGCCCATAATAATCAAATTGCCCGATATCCGTTTGGAAAAGTCCTTAGCCGAGGGATTTATAACCGGGTCAGCATCGTCCGGTCAGGAGAGTGTCAGTCGCCATTTGTTAAGCAGCATGCACTCATGCAGTTGACCACCAACATGTCGAATCCGACGTCATGGCGTCGGCGGCGGGCAGGCATGCGAGGGCATGCCACCTAGAGGCACCTCGCAGGCATGCGAGGAAGGATGGTTAGGACCGTCAGCAAACTGCTGTGCAAATGCTGAGCAATGCTGTTTTTTAGCGATGCTTCTTAGAGACCATGCCATAACCAGCAGTATGGACAAGATTGTAGACGCCGTTGCCATGGTGACCCGTTGCGGTGTACACTACAACGTAAGATAGCCTTGACTACAACTACCAGTCTGACTGATGTCAAAGCTCAAACAATATCGCTGATGGCAAGCTCCCGTATTGCTGCATTCTGGGTAGTGATGCTGTGACGTCGTCGTGGGGCTGAGTCATATGACGCTAACGCTGTGGCGACGTGAAAACGCTGATCTTTGCCGACTGGTTTAAACATGAATATTTCCGTGAACCGAATTTTTTGACCCAGCTCATTCAGTGAAGCATTTCAGCTGGGAAATGGTGCTGATTTGCACCACAGCTACAAAATTGTTGCTGAAATGTGCTTCCAGCCTGCCCCCGACAGACAGATGGGGTTACCCATTCATCAGTGATGTATTCCGAGGAACTCTAGCCGGAAGTGCGTAAAAACAGTTCATGTAAAAGGGTACAACAACAACAACAACAACATAGGGTGGGGATGAGATTCGGCGGGCCACACGGGCTCGCAGCACCCTGGGACGCAGGCAGGCCCTATCGCGGCCGCCTTCGGTGTTAACCGTCGGCAATGTCTACCTCGGCCTGAGACGTTGCTTGAGCCTGCGCCTGCGTCGCGCCCGGCAGGCCGGCCAAGGATCCGTTCTACGACGTTGATGCGGAGAACGAAGACCGGCAGGCGGCCGAGGCCACGCGCAAGCAGAAGGAGGCGCAGACCTACCTCAAGCGGGTGATCGTGCACCCGGCCTTCCACAACATCGACTTCAAGGAGGCGCGCCGCCTGCTGGCCACCATGGACCAGGGCGAGGCCATCATCCGGCCCAGTAGCCAGGTGAGGGCGGCGGCCGGCTGACCGGGGCGCAACAGCCAGGTGAGGGCGGTGGCCGACTGGCCGGGGCGCAGCAGCCATATGAGGGCGGGGGCCGGCTGGCCGGGGCGCTGCAGCCGTCGCCGTCAGCGTCCGCTCGGACAGTCCGCGTGACGTTAGAAATCAGCCTGCCGGTTTTAGCTGGAGATCCGTGCACCTGTGTCATGCGTTCGCGTTGCATCCTCCCTCGAGTGCCACGCGAGAGCTCGTGCTCACTGGTTCCCGCGCGCGTGCTGCAGGGCAGCGATCAGCTGACCGTGTCCTGGAAGGTGACCGATGACGTCATCCAGCACATCAACGTCAAAGAGATGGGCAAGGAGAACGCGTTCAGCCTGGGCCAGACGCTGGTCATCGGTAAGTATCTGGCGGGTCCAGCCGGAGCGGACTGCGCCGGTGCCCTGTCAAGCCGCCAGAGAAAGATGGCTTTGTAAATTGGCCTTAAACGAGCCAAGCTGGTGGCATGTGCGGGCGTGGGTGGTCGTGTGTTGGATAATTCATCACGCCGCTAGTTACGCCAATACAGTGGCGTCCAGCTTCGGACATGAGTTGCCTCCGTGTTCCGGTCGCCGGTGGCGTTGTCCACCCGGTCTCACGCGGCCGGCCGCCGACTTCAGACAACGAGGAGTTCGAGGACCTGGACGAGATCCTGGCGCGCCACGTCAGTCCTGTGTCGGCGCACGCGCGCGACCTGCTCAGCTACAAGTACTACCGCGACACAGACGGCGGCAAGCGACCGCGCGCCGAGGAGCTGCTGCGAGATGAGAAGCGCAAAAACCCTCAGAAGATTCCCTATATCGTGTCCGTCTCCAAGGTGGGGCTGCGCGGAAATAATCCTACATCGTGTCCGTCTCCAAGGCGGGAGCGTGGGGAGATCACCCTTCACCGTGGCGGTTTCTAGTTTTGGCATCTGCCGTGCAGCGGAAAAAAACTGCATTACATCTCCCTCCAGTACGTGCGTGCACTATGGTGCAGAAATACTCTTCATCGTGTCCGTCCGTAAGGTGATCGCAGCTGTTGCCCGGGAAAGGTAGTGCGTCACGTCCGCGGTCCCCGAGGTGAACTCCGGCTGCGGCGGGAAAGCACCGCGTCGCGCCATCGCTGCCGTCACTGTCACTTGGCATGCAAATGATGGCGACAGTTCGGATGACGCACACATATGCGTCTGAGTTCGTCGCTTTCTGTCTGGCGGCGTCGTTCGTGAAGGGTCAGCAGTGCTGGCCTGCGCTGTTGTGTCAGCGGTGCTGGAGGGTGCTGACTCAGCACACTCTACTGGGCTGCGTGCTTCGGTCGGCCGCCGCTGACGCCCGCGCCCCGTCCGCAGGAGCACCCGGGCAAGTTCATGCTGTCCTACATGCCGCGCACGCGCGCGCGCCACGAGTTCATCACGCTGACGCCGGAGGGCTTCCGGTTTCGGCAGCAGATCTTCGAGACGATCCCGGCGCTGTTCCGCTGGTTCAAGGACCACTTCCGGGACCCGGTGCCGCAGACGCCGCGCGGCACGACGGCCGCTGCGCGCACGCCCTTCACGCCCGGCGCTGGCTTCAATATCAACAGTGAGCCGCCCTTCCGACCCACGCTGCCTCCCACGTTGTGGCCTCCCTCGACACCCGTCCGGCATAGCAAATGCAAATGGGATGCACGTTTCTTATACAGTTCAAATGCGAATGAGAATACATCCCCTACTTCATCCAGAGGCATATTCCCAGCCCGTTGTAGAACCAAAAACCAAAAACAGAAGACAGAAAACGAACTAGAAGCTACAACATTGTTGAAGTTGACGGCCTATAAGGCTAAGGCACGGGTGAAAGTGGTGACGGTAAATCATGCGAAACCGACCATGCATGGTGATGTGAAGCATAACATTTGTCTACGGATGCTCGTAAGCCTTAGCAGCAGTATCGGTATTGTGCAACCGTATGATATTTCCCATCAAACCAGTGGACCGCGTGGCAATGACCGAAGCAACGCAAAAATTGGCAGATTTTCGGACATCAGACCTTGTTTGGAACACACAACGCTGGCGTGTGGTCAGTGGTCACCGAACTTACTCGTAAGACGTTTGTTGTAGTCCCTACCTTGCCCACATTTGATTCCTTCGTGACGCATTTAGTCCGGATCAAAGAGCTGACCGCCCCCCCCCCCCCTCCCATCCCACACCACCCCCAATCTTTCAGATGAACGGATTTTCAAAGGGTTTCCAAGGCGCGTGTTGATCGTCACGTTCTCCGCCGACGGGGTGTCGACGGCTATCGAGCGGTGTCAGCAGTGTTAAAGTCAATTTGACCTCATAGTGAGCGACGCGAGGGTTACCGTCTCTCGGGCCGGCGCGGCCGGGATGGGGCTCGCTCGGCTCCCGAGGGGGGGGGGGGGGGGCGGCCCGACACCGGCAGTCTCCCTATCGGCCGGGCTGGTGACTCGGCCGGCCGGGCAGCGGCCAGCTCCCGCTGGAGGCCAATGTCATGCTCGTTGACCTCTGATCGGCGGGGCTGCGGCGCTGGCGGCCGCCCGGAGGCGTTTGACGCTACGGCGAAGGGCGTGGTCGGAGGCGGGCCGGCACAACGGATCTGTTGGCTCGCTGCGCTCAACCGATTCTCGGGCGGCCAGTAATCGGCACACAACGCCGATGGGCGGCGTCCGTAATGGCGTCTGTCTGTCTGTGCCGAGCTTCAGCAGTGTTCGCTTTTTTGTTTTTTTGTTTTTGTTATGAGGGGCGATAGCGCAAAGTGAAATTCTCTGTAACTGTGCATAGATGTCTGTCTTGTAATTGTCAGGAATATCCCAGCCTTTGGGGTTTAGGAAGCTGCGATGTTATTTCGCCGGAGTGATATTCGGCGCGTAGCTGGGTTTTAATTTTTGTAATTGTAATTATATTTTGTGGTTGATGTGTAACTGTTGCCTGCCTCACTGTCTCCCGCCGTATTCGATTATACGGCACTTTTCCCAAAGGACGTTTGCGTGAGTCTGGACAGCATGCGCCCTCACTGACATTTCACGCCATACTTTGAGATAACCCACGTTTTCTGAGATCCAAACAGCACTATTTTTGTTTGAAAGATATCAGCGTCGAGACCTTTTATGATTCTCATTGGCCACGTAAAAACCTCATATACGAGGAATAACCACTGCAGACCACCCGTACAAAAATACACAATAAACGGCGACGATTTTCGTAACCCTGCCCGCAGCTCTCTTGAACTTACCAGGAACATCCCAGGCTTTTTGGTTCAGAAGGCAGCAAAGTGATATCGCCAGAGTGATTTTCTCTGCGTTTTTTGGGCTGCAGTAGTTTACTAGTTTTTCCCAGCGCTCGTAGCATTGTCTTGCTGGGTGTCAACGCCAGCTTCGCTGCGGTGTCGATGGCCGCCCGTGCGGTCGTCAGTGTACAGATAACCTAATATCTACTCTTGTCGTCTTTTTGGTGTGGCTGCGAACGACGGATGCGATGTGAAACGTTGACGAAGCCGTCGTTTGCCCTCTCCCTGCAGACGTGAACGCCGAGGCGGTGGCGCGGGTGGCGCAGAACCTGTCTGGCAACGTGCTGCACAACCTGTCGCAGGCAGCCGCCCACACCCCCGGCTACTACCCCAACACGGTGAGTGGCACGGCGCCGGGCTAGACACCGGTCCGCTCACGTAGTGAAGGGCTGAATTTGGGCTCCACTACAACGGCGTGTTGTGAGTTGTGATTAGTACCGTGCTGAATTTCGAGAGATGAAGTGGTCCTTCTCAACAGCGAACGGCTGCTGACGGAGTATGGTCCCGTTGAAACAAGTGCGCAGAAACGTCGCAGTTGCGCTGTGCCATAGTCCGTGCAATGATTCCGGCTGTAAGTCATTATTCCGTGTGATTCAAGTTTCTACAGACAACCTCGTTCCGTGAATTTGGAATGTAAACAGTGCTTACCAAATCGACAGCCATCTCAATGGCATCTGGCAGCGACCTGATCATGCTCCGCTGTCGCGGTGTGCCTGGTGACGCCGCAGTGGTCGGGGGGGGGGGAGGGCGGGTGTGAGCTGCAGTTCCGGCATGCCTTGTGATGTCTGTGTACCCGTCCCGACCTTGTGTGCCTGATCTGATCTGATCTGAGCTGATCTGATCTGATCTGATCTGATCTGATCTGACCTGACCTGACCTAACCTGATCCGTGCCGTCCGTTCCAGCCGTACACGCCGTCCGGCCAGACGCCATTCATGACACCGTACGCCACGACGCCGCGGTACCAGGGCGGCGGCGGCGGAAGCGGCGCCGCAGCCGCCGCCGCCGCCGCGCACCAGGTGGCCGCCTCGCCGCGCTACCCGGCGGCCGGCCGGCACCCGCAGCCGACGCCGTCCGTCAGCCGCGACTCGCACGACTGGGGCGCCGCCGCCGAGGCCTGGGCCAAGGCGCGCCACAGCCGCGGCGACGCGCGCACCACGCCGCGCGCCGACCCGGCCTCCACGCCGCGCGCCGACGGCCGCAGCACACCGCGCATGGACGCCAGGTCGACGCCGCGCATGGACGCCAGATCGACGCCACGCGCAGACGGCAGGTCGACGCCACGTATGGACGCCAGGTCGACGCCACGCATGGACGCCAGGTCGACGCCGCGTATGGACGCCAGGTCGACGCCACGGATGGACGCCAGGTCGACGCCGCGCATGGACGCTAGGTCGACGCCGCGCGCCGACGGTCGCTTCACGCCGCGCGCGGACGGCAGGTCGACCCCGCGCGGCGACGGCGCCTCCACGCCTCGCGACGGCATGCGCACACCCCGAGACGGCTTCCCACCGTGAGTACAGAACCGTACTGGGGATGACTAGGACAGCTGATGGTGGGGTCTGGGGGCTCGGAACGAGGAGCTGTCGGGCTCGAGTCTTGTTTTTGGCCCGACTGCTGAGGGCGCCAAGAATATCATGATCTCGCCCGTAGCGTTGCGTCGTCTCAGGCCGGTTGACCTCACACTGAGCTGACCCAGTGCTTTAACAGTCGTTCGTGCTTGCGTTTGTATGTTGGCGTCTAGGATCGTGGAACAATGTATGGCTGCTCTCCAGATATGTCCGTGAATTTTAGATATGCCAACCTACATTCTTGCCCATTCGTCTATTGGTTGCTTACGTCGAAACGCATGCGTGCTGTACGGATCCGACTTCGTGGAGCACATTGTAAGCCGTTCTCACCACTCAGACCGAGTTCGGCGGCAGCGCCGACGCGGCCCGGGCTCGACGCACCGCGGGCCGCTCCACCCCAGCGCCGCGGCATGGTCAGTGACCCCACGCCGTCCGTTGCAGACCGGGTAACCCGGCGTCGCGCTCGAGGCGGACCCCGCGCGCCGGCGAGACGCCCCTGTACGACGAGTGAGCGGGCCGCGGCCGAGTTGGACACGCCACCGCTCTCCCGACTTTGTGATGCGTTGCACTGTTCCGTGACTCTGACTCCGCTCCGGAGCCCTGGCCAGACTCTGAGACTCTGTTCTGAAGCCCTGACCGGACTCTGAGACTCCGTTCTGAAGCCCTGGCCAGACTGAGACTCCGTTCTGGAGCCCTGGCCGGACCCTCCGCCTCCGCTCCGCGGTCCTGGCCGGCGCCGGCCGGGCGCGGCTGGCCGGCCGGTGCCTGGCGGGTCGTCAGCGGGTCGGCGCTGACCCGACCTCAGACGGCAGGGGCCACGGCCTCCGGCCCGGCGCCGCGCGGGCAGCCGGGTCGCGACACTGTGTGGATGGGTGGACCGCACGCCGATGGTCTGAACGGTCTCAATATACCGGGCAGAGCGCGGCGGAGTGTGTCTTTCGGCGATGCTGGACGGAGAAGGGAGAGGTCGCGGCCGCCCGGCTGACCGGCGGTTTTCGCTGATCACCGAGGTATCTCCTATCATTAGAGGCGCGTGCGCTGCGCCCAGGAGTCCGATGTTGCGGTGATGCGATGTGTAGGTCAGAGCTAAGATCGGCACGGGCGTGGTCGAGAAGCGCCTCCGGCTCCTGGGCTCGTTGGTATGTAATATCCCTGGCACAGTCGGGCAGCGTGGTTGCAGACGTGGGTTATACCTGGACGGATTCGCGCCTGAAGCAAGTCATCCGGGATACGTCCAGCAAACAGGCATGTCCTGATGCCCTGTTAGGAGATACTCTTGCTCTTTTTGAAAACGTTGCGGTGCGGCAAATGCCATTAGATCGTAAGTTTTTTTTAAAAAATCACATGGAGCACTGCGCTGTCAGACGCTGTCGGTTTTATCCCCGGTATGACAAGTCGTCTGGCGTCATACGAGCGAGACGTAACAGAAGTGAAATATCCCTGTGGAGGGGATATCTGATGGTAAGTGGGTGGAACGCGTCGACGTGATAAAAGCAAGAAAGGCATCGGGCTGTTGGTTTTGCGACATTGTGGGTTCTCGCACTAGAAATATTCGCCCTCGGACACACTAGGACGTACTGTCGAGATCACCAATCTATTGGGATATCCTACTTCCGTCAGTCTGGCTAGCGGAGGTGCAGTTACGTTTAGCTTTCGTTGATAAGCGCTGAAATGTTGGCTGGCTCTGGGTTTTCAAAGCCCGTAGTTCCATCAACAAGATATCTCAGTTTGGAATAGCGGCGTTTTTGGTGACTGCCACACGCAATGAAGATGCGAATGTCGTGGATGGATATTGGCTATAGCACACGCAATGGAAATGCGACTATCGTGAATGGATATTGGTCATAGCACACGCAATGAAGATGCGAATATCGTGGATAGATACTGGTCGTAGCAAAACGAACCACACGCATGCGGATCATGGCCGGATCCCATCCAGTTAAGGCCGCAACGCGGTGTGGCATGTGAGGCTGGTTTCGGAAAAAATGGGCGTTTAGCGGCTTCCGGACTGTTACTGGCGTGCCCATGAGCAGTGTTGATACGGGGACGGTGTCAAGACCCCTTGATGACCTGCAGATGGTGCATTGACCACAGCCTACGTCGTAAAGCCGGCATCACATCCGTCTCTGCGTTAACAGGGCAAATGGCACCAGGGATACTGAAACGTCTTCGCCAAGGCTCCTCACGGGACCGAAATCAGCGGAAAATTCAGATAATATATGAATACGGGGTCAGGATTACGCTGCAGCCCGGAATCAGCTGTAATACCTATCATTTTCCACCTAAAACCTTGAAGCTTGACGCGCTACCGAAGTCAGACACCTTTTTGACCTTTTTAAACGTCCTAAAACTACCGGATCCCTGATTGGCGCACGCGCACGATGGCACGTGAATCTGCACGCACTGACCTCCACACTTGCCAGTACGACTGTCCCTGTGCTCCGTAACAAGCCCCGTCTTCCCGCGGCGCCTGGTCAACGAGATCTGCGCCTGCTTCCGAGCCACGTCTCCAGATTTTTTTGCGATTTGAAGACGATACGTTTCCCATGTTAGTGGAATGAGAGGGTGTAACATGGTGGCGATATTTCTACGAAATGATGCGCAGTTGTACAAAAACGCCGCCTCACAAAACAGCTCGAATTTCCGTTTTGAAAATACCACGTACAGCTTTCTGAGAACTGACAAGCGTTGCCGGAAATCCTACGGCCGCGCGGATGTTTGCAAGGGTGCAGCCTTGCCAAGAGCTCTTCTGGACGGGTCAAGTCGGTCTGCTGAGACAACAATAATGCGGGCTAGTTGACGCTAAAGGGAGTATCCTGCCTTTTTGTACTTTTCTTTTATTACTACATCAGACGCGTACGATTTGATCAGGTACACCACTTTTCTCCAAATGCTTCACAATAGCTCAGAATTTCGATTTGAAGTAGCCGGCCCTGCGGTAGAAATCTCATTTGAACCCCTGTTCACCGCTATGAAAGTAGCGCATTTAACTTGCCTTCCTATTTCCGGTGCGTTTTCTCTTATGTTTGTTACACACTTGGGTCAACATGCTATGGTAATAAACGCCACGAAAGTTTGCATCAATAGACAAAAATATAAGCGAACATGAAGCTATTCTCCCGCGCATTTTAAGAAACGTTATACCATGGTTTCTTTTTCTCCCCTCTGGCGTTTACCACAGTGCCTCTTTTCGAGACCCACTTTCGCTTTGGGAACAGGAGCATCACATGATCCACGCGACGCGGTTCAAACGTCCACCAATGCGCTTCTAGGCAACAGCCCTCTGCCTGCTGGGCCAAACACTAATGTTCTTTTATTCGCACGGGAGGGGGGGGGGGGGGGGGGCGTCCGACGGCGGCGGTCACGACTACAGGGAGGAAGCGTAGTGCTGTTGTAAACCGTTGGCAGCGCAATTTGGACTTGAAAATAATTAAAACTGATATCCTTATCATGTCTTGCCGTTGCTGTAATCACGCTCCTCAATGTTATCATATGGTGTAACCAGCCCTGCGATTTCACCAGAGCATGTTCTTTTAAACATGCCCCAAGTTGGGACACTCCCTTCAAGACCAGCTCGTCAAGGGGGCCCGTCGTAACGATTTTTATATGTTGCTGTTGTTTGCTTTACACGAATTTATGGAGCCTACAAAATGACCATTGGCCAAATACCCCAAGTTCCGGACATTTTTCGGGCACGAGTTGAAATTAAGAACGAGCCGTGTGGAGTTTGGTACATACAGTCGTCTTAACAGTTCGGCACCATACACATAACGTGTTCGACCCGAGCTCCGGCTTCGCTCCCATGTTCAGCGATGGCAATTCCAACCCAGCAAATAGGATGCGCACGCTTCTGCAACAACCAACAGCTGACGGTTTATCAAAATATATGTGTATGACACACCCAATCGCATTTAAGTACAGTGCATGACAAACCTTTTTATCACGAAGTTTGAGTTTGGGTTCACCATCCGCCATACACTGAAACGATACACCCCTAGGTGCTCAAAACGCAGTTGCCAAAGCAACCGTTTTTAAGCGGAGAGATTCGTTTTCACACTCCGTGCAATCACAGTCAAGTAACTCCACCCAGGTATGACACAAGGCGACTACAATCCGTGCATGCTATGTATCACTGGTTCACGTGGCCCTTCGTCGTGCATGTACATTTGAGTAACTAAACCCAAGCACGACACGAGGCGAACACGATGTGTGCGTATTTGGGTATCCCTGGCCCGCGCGATAAGCGGTCGGTCGATGACGGTTCGCTGCTCCCGTCCTCTCCGTGTTGCGGCGCAGGACACCACGCGGGTCAGCTGGTGTCAGCCGAGGTCAGCCGCCAGCCGAGCCGAGTCAGGTCGGCACGGGCGACGCATCCTCCGGCTCCTCTGGGGGCACGCGACGGCGATTGCACTGGTTGTGATGTGTGGTGTACATAGTCATCTGCTCCTGCGCCGCTCCCCGTACAAAACACACCGGGCGAGTCTAGACTAGTGTGATATTGTTACTTGCTGCAACCCAACTGAAAGCGCATGTTCTCCATGGCATTTCCCACTGTGCTGACTTCTTTGTTTTTGACTGTTTTGTAAAGCATTTGCGAGGTCGATGAGTCGTCCTATAAGACTGGAGACAAAACGCAAGGGTGCCTCTCGACATGATTGGCTGTCGATATTGGCTCGACAAGAGTCTTGCTTTTTGCAATGTGAGCAATAATACGGCCGGGTACCGGATCGTCACCCAGTGAATGCTGCATGCTCACTTGCACGAAATTGTCACGTTTGAGGAGCTGACGCGGCCAAGGTTCTGTTAAGGTCCAGAATGGAAGTCCTGGTACAAATCGGTCCAAAGTGCGCCTGGCTTACACGAACTGTTGCGGTTTGTGGTAACGATACCAAGCCCTCATAACACGGGGTGACAACTCCGGGTGACAGTGAGGACAGTAAAGCCATGTGTCAATAACCAATCCAGCTAAATTTTACTGGATGCTAATGCACACTTCGTACCTGGTAGGGTGTGGTAGGCGAAAGCCCGTTGCACCATTTTCCGTCGGTAAATAACTGAGAATGCCAGCAGGGAGATGGCCCACTTCAAGGTCAAGAAGCACATCACTGCACGGACTGAGTTGCTTGTCTCAATTGGGTAGAAACCTGTCCAAATAGACCACACACATTTTTTACAGACTGGCCTTGTTCAAACCTCGTGATGGGCCACCGCTACACCCCATGCAAAAAAGAGCTCACAAATATGGACCAGCATATTGCACCCACAAGGTCTATTTGAAGGTTCAACACATTTGTAGCACACATGGGGATGAGGACCTTCATGTTGCTGATGGCCCAGGCACTTGTTCTCACAGCAGGGGATTACATCCCAGGTGTGCACATAGTTAGGATGTTCTGAAAACATCGGCAGATTAAAATAAGTGATGCTATCATGCAACTGACAAACCAATTTTCTCACAACAGGCACCTTCTAAGCAAAAGGCCTAGCTATAGGCGCATATAGTGCAGGATATGAAAATGGTGAACATGAGAGTTGGTGGAAATGCAATAAAGTAAAGTCCAAGAAAATATGTTAGTTGATAAGCAAGAAAACAGCCTAGTCAGCTGAAATGTGAAAAGAATCATAGTTGATGGAACCATTAGCGAAAAGACTGAAAAAAACAAACAGCACCTGAAATCTGACATGGTCCAATGATCCATTTGTATGTAAAGCAGTACAAGTTTGACCCAAAAGGTGGCACTCCCTTTACAGGGACCCAAACTGATCCATACCTTCATGTTTGGAGATGACATTGCTGAGATACCACCCCATCAATGCCAGAATGCCAAGCAGAACAGTGATGGCAAATATGGCAACCCGCCTCATGATGACTGGGTTATACCAGGCTTCCATCAGATCAAAATGGTCCAGTATCTGAAGGTGAAGACACAGAGCAGCCAGCAGACCTGAGAACAGATCAAGATCACTCACTGAGTGTGGTTATTGCACTGAAAACTCCATAAACATACACAGCAGCTGGCAACCATATGTGAATGCATGCAAGCATTTGCAACTTAAGTAACATGCATGTCTGATGAAAAAACTAGTAACATGATATTTACAGCATAACATAATGCACATGATTGCATATAACATTGTACAACAAAATAAAACTGAACATATTCAAGTTTACTAGGATGTATACATGGCAATCTCAACAGATATCATGAAGCATATATATTGTGAATGCATCTAATGTGGTCAGCTAAATGTTTGTTTGATCTATCAACATGGGAATCTAAAGCAGCATGCCTTGCACTACTAGCAAGTAGCAGTGGAGTACAATTCCTCCTCAGCATTTGTTTACACTAGCACATGGTTTAGCAGCTGATAAACACAATAAAGCCATGGCATAAACACTCTTAGCTTAGCTATACCCCCCCCCCCCCCCCCACACACACACACACAGATGTCATTATTCTTACCTGAAAAGCATGCCAAAGATCCTGCCTGATAATTGGCAAACGTGAACATGAACACAAAGAACCCTGCAAGGCCCACAAAGAGACCAAGCGCGCTGATGATCATGAAAAACCAACTTTTACATTTGGCCGCACTGTCCATGTTTGAGATTCTTCCGGTCCTGAGGCCTGCTTTCCAATGTTCACGAACGCAGTGAGTTGAAAGACAGAACGCCCCTGTCGACCACCCGCCAGCTTCACGAAGGCCACCGGACTTCCGCGTTAACGTCGCCAGCCGCCCTCAATAGGCAAACGGGCCTTGAATCAGGGCCCTGGGCAAAAATGACGCAAACAAATCATTATGACAACAAACATTAGCACTAAAGTGCTGCTAGTATCTCACGAGAAGAAATTACGCCAACCGTATGCGTTAGGCATCATCTAAGCCACTGGAAATACCAGTTTATTCCAAGAACTATGTAATAGCTTACATTATCTTCCTTCAGCTCATGGTGATCGGGAATCTAAAAGTCCACTTGGCCTGTCTATCCCGGTCTCTTCGAACTTCGAGCAGCCGAAGACCCTCATTTTAAAAACGAGAAATTCGAGAGTTCTTGTTTAGGTATGTTATTGGTGTAGAACGTCATACATGCATAGGCGGATCCTGGGGGGGGGGGGGGCCCGGGGCCCTGGCCCCCCAAACTCTGAGAGTACGTTTTGCCTCCCCCTCCCTAAAAAAATCTCGGAACTTCATAAAAGTTTCGTCTACTTGCTGTCTGTTTTAACTTTGATGGTGCGGTATCAAACATTTCCTGCCGTTTCGGCGACAAAATTCATGGAGAAAAGTTGGCGGCGATTTGAATATCAAAACAAAAAGCATTTGGACGCGGCTTAGTCATACTCGTTTTATGTTACGAGCTTTGTAAACATGCATACTGTATATGGAAGATTCAAAAGCATTTCGGTGCTTGAATGGTGTCCCGTCTAGGTACTCGCGAGAGACACCATGTGCTGGACCTCGGATCCCACACCAGCCAGCTGGCGACGAACGGTTGCCCCCCCCCCCCCCCAAAAAAAAACAACAACTCCAGGCTAGATCAGCCACTGCATATATGGCGACAAAAGGCTAGGCTCATTGTAAATCTAGCCTAGCCTGGCGTTTGTAATCGTGTGCTTTAAGCGTGAAATGCAAACACTTCAACAATCTGACCTGTTTTGAGCACCTTATACCTTCCAGTCCATAATGGTTATAAATGTAGTTACACATTACTTGGCCAGCAGGCAGTAATGAACTGCATGGAAATAAGAAACTGCTGCGTGCTCGTCACGACGTAGGGTATATGCAGTTTCGGGCAACTGACCTTAAGCTTATCGCATAGCCCCCAAGCAACCAGGGATTGAATCGTGATTACTTCTGGTTCCCATGACTCGCGAGGTCCTATTCGGACTCATATTCGTGTACGCGGAAAACACAGTCACGCATTAACCAATGATCAATACACGAATACATCTTTGACAACGGCCTCGTGCTTGCAATGACGTAAATATGCACTCTTGACAACCTGACCTCAGGGTCACCGTATGGTCTCCAGAGTGCGAGAGGTTTAAGAAGCGGTCAAGTATTACTCCGTCAATAGAACATAAATCCAAATCTTCCAACAGCCAGATGCTTGGGTCACCTGTGTAACACCCCCAGGAATCTAGGGTCAAAATACGGTCATGGATTTGAGGCGAGCACTGGCATCATAAGCGACATAACCTGTAAATGCCATCAGAAAGCCGACAGGCAAATGAAGTGCTCCGTCATTACTGCATCGAAACCACATCCGAGCCAGATATGTGGCTGAATCCCAAGCGTGGACCCATGATCCCATAAGGTACCGTTTTAATGAGATCCTGAGACCTTTTGGAGGGCTCCAGGCAAATGCCTGAGCTGAGCACATCTACGTGCTTGCCATAACGTCAGGTAGACGAACTTTTGATATTCAATTCCCGACCCCTGGAGAGTACCATATAGTCCTGAGGCAATGAGGAGTAAGCAGCATGGTCCATCGTTACTGTATTGGTATTGCATTAAATCCGAGTATGACAATGGCTACATGCTCGCCATGGCAGGCACATGCACCTCTCACAGCCTGACCTTTCAGTGTGACTGCGTAGCCTCCAGGCGACTGGGGGTCCAGTACGCGGGTGCAATATCAACAGAGGGATGCGCAACCGAGTTTTCCCCGCTCATTGCCTAGAGGCTGTACGGCAAACTTTAGATGTCAGGTTGCTGAGAATCCATCTATCTGACGGCATGACGCGCACTTAGATGGTTTGAGTTTGGTTTTGATGCTGCACTAACGAAGCAGCTCGCTACCGCGTTTTTACCTCCTACTGTCTAGAGGCTGAATGGTGACTTTTAGCGGCCGGGTCGCTTAAAGTGCATTTCATTGAGTTGCAAAGATAGTCCGTGGCTATCTTCAGATTTGGATTTAATGTATTAATGACTGAGTGATGCGCAACCGGGTTTTCCGCATGTACAAATATGAGCAAAAAAGGAACCCTTAGCTAACTGGAAATGACCTAGTGCTTTACCTCTAGCTGCCTGAAGGCTTCATGTAAAGGCCAGGTCATCAAAAGCGCGAATGTCTGACGTCATGGCGAACGCGTGGCCGTGATCAGATTTGGATTCTATGCATTAAGCGTAACGCCTCAAAAAGTGACGTGCTTTTAAGCTTAAGGTGTGAACCGAACACGGATGCGTGCTTGTCGTGATAAGAAGCCAACGGTATCCGCTTTTAAGATTTTGCGAGGTTTAAAAAGCACCAAAACATTATTTACGGCCACACCTGACCATTATGTTACGCTACCCTCCCCTTTGATGCACCGTGATACACTATATCACGGTCCATCAAAGACCCCTCTCCCTCCATGAATAACGTACAGTGGCCCAGGCAAAGCGGGCAAAGGGGCACGTGGTGCCTAAGACACCCTTGACCCCCTCAGATCCCTTTAGGCACCTGGTCCCTTGGGTCCCCTCGCCCCGAACTTGAAAACGAACGAACAAGAACCCGACTTGAATGCCCGAAGTGCCCAAATGATTGGGCGAGGGTCATTTTAAGGGGCCGACAGTGCAGAACCCTCAAACGCCTGTCGGAGGACCCTTCGCGTCGGCCGGAGTCCCGAGTCGATACGGGCCTTTATATCGGTCAGGCACCACCAGTACCGAACAGTCGGCTCCGTGTCGGTCAGAGTCCTGGGGTCCGCTTCCCAAGCAGGAACAAGGCCGGTGCCCGATATGTGCACTAATCGCGGTCCCTGAAACAATGAGGGATCTGTGTTGATCGGGGCCACAGTGTCTAACAGGGGTCTTATGTCTGCGAGGAGCCCGAGTCTTACAGTGAAGTATTTGCTGAAGAGAAAGACAGACGGGAACCCGAACGCCAGAGGGCCTCTCGCGTTGGTCGGGGTCATCCGACAATGACAGGAGATATGAGGACTTACGATTATAGTCCATCATGACACAATATCATTCAGGGACCCTAGTACCGAGCGGGTGCTCTCCATCCCATTTCAACCAAGGGTCGTTAGGCCTAACTCGAGTCTGCCAATTATTGGACACCTGAGGCGATAATGAGCCGTTTGGTCAATACGTTTGTCCAGGGACATCTATGCTTCTACAGATTCGTCTGGTAAAAAACTACATGCGATACCAGGGTATGAGTCTACGCATTCGCAATCCTAAGAGCAGGAAACTGAGGGCCGGGGCTGGGTTTCCGTCCAACCGACCGGAGTTGGCCGCTGTAGCTGACCCAGGCGGTGGGCGTCGGGCGCGCGAGAACGATCGCTGTGAAGCAATGCTTCCGGAATCCTTTCAAAATAAATTCGCACAGTTTGAAGTTAAGACTGGGGCGTATATTTTACCTATTCAACCTTGAGATCGTTACCTGAAAACACCAAGAAACAACACGTCACAGCTGCAGCTGTACAGCAACACAAAAATAGAGATTCTACGTTAACTTTTCAGCAGCACCACCAGATTCTATCACGAGTTCGCGGTGCTGTAGATACTAATTCATTCTCATCATCAATATAAATAAAGGACTCAGCAGGCTTCAAAAACGCAGCGGGAATTTCCCTTCGACGTCCTTATTGGCATGCTAAGGGGTCCAAAGAAATTTCACTCAGATGCGTCATTGCTTTTTGTTCGCCGTTAACCACCGCCTTATATAATTTGCCACAGTGCCGACGACGCGAGGTCCGGAGAGACTGCAACGCCGGCCGTCGAGCTTCTGTTTCTAAGGCTTGTGAGCTCGGATCTTCATAACTAACAAACCAAGTTTTTCACTACTCAATAATGAAAAAAGGTTGAACATCCCCTACGAATATGGGCTAGCCATGTGAGTAGATATAACATTTTGACCCCATTTAGACCTGCAATGCACGTTCACGAGTCTTCAATATCTCTGCAGGAAATATCTCTATTATGGTTGATTCAGTGTACGGACTTTAAAATACAGACACAGGTATATCTTCCGGTGGCTTCTGGTTGCTGAAAAATTGAGGACGATAAGAGGAATAGTACAGGGAAAAACGAGTCCCATCGAAATTATGCGGCCGTATCTGGTGGTTCTTTAGCGGCCTTTTACTACCTTTCTCTTTATATTTTTAGCGGCCTTTCACCCTTTATCGACCCCGTGACCCACTCGTTATCCTCTCCCTAACCAACCTGACCTAAGCCTCCAGCTGCGCCCTTGCGTAAGATTAACGTTGGCAAATACAACTTGTTCCTGCCACATCCGGAAACGCAGGCCGACAGCGTTCAAGGATGATCGCATTGTCTACCACGTAAGCCGAGCTTTTCCACATGTTGACGTCGCGTGAACCAACCGTCGACTGGTCCCCCTCCACGCTAACCCACTATCTTATACAACCTTATCATGTTCCGCCATCATCCACCATTATGATAGCCTGCTATCTGCCCTGCTCGCCTCCAACTCACGTCAAGGATCGCCTCCTGACCGAGCGAACACGCCGACTGCGCCAGGACCAACCAACTGGCGCCTGCTAACCATCACACCAGGAGGATGCCGGAGAAATCCCGGCCGGGGGTAAACAATCGGCCTCGGGCTGGACGGCGACAGTCACTGCTAGATCAGTGCCCGTAGCGTCACCTCACAGGGCGTTACGACACCTTGCGACACCATGGGCACCTCTATACATAGAGCACTGTTGATCTTCTTGTTCTTATTCCCCATTTCGGCAAACGTCACCGTGGAATTCATCTCGGAGTTTGCCATCTCTTGCAGCTGGTTTCTGGACATTTTTAGCTTACAATTTAGGACTGGTTGTAACACGACTGTCCCACTGAGTAATGATCTTGCCTGCCATGAACTTGAACTCGCCTGCCCTGTCATTGAAAAGGTTATGAATTAGACTGGCCTTCACCACTTCTTCGTCATCTGTCTTGTCAAAGTTTACGTAGAGTGACCGACTTCCTGCGCTGTGCACACGGAGTGACTCTCATCACCCTGGGCCGTCCACACGGAGTGGCACTCATTAGCCCAAGCCGTGCACACGGAGTGGCTCTCATCCCCCTGAGCCGTGCACACGGCAATGGCTTTCACCATCCTGAGCCGTGCACACGGAGTGGCTCTCATCAGCCCAAGCCGTGCACACGGAGTGGCACTCATCAGCCCAAGCCGTGCACACGGAGTGGCTCTCATCACCCCGAGCCGTGCACACGGCAGTGGCTCTCACCATCCTAAGCCGTGCACACGGAGTGGCTCTCATCAGCCCAAACCGTGCACATGGAGTGGCACTCATCAGCCCAAGCCGTGCACACGGAGTGGCTCTCATCAGCCCAAGCCGTGCACACGGAGTGGCGCTCATCACCCTGGGCCGTGCAGTGAGCATTTGAGGCTGCTTTGTGTCGGGAAGTATTTTTGATGACTGACAAACAAAACACGGTGCTCAAAGGATCCCTTTCTTAATTAAAGGTACCGTGTGCGTCACTCCGTTATCGGTATCGATATCATGCAGCGCGATTTTGGTATCGTTGGTATCATTCCGTACCACGTGTATAACGTGGCCGTCCGTTCTGCCGCGGAGAGCCAGGCGAAGCTGATCCATCCTCTGATCAAGTTACAAGAAATGCTTGCCCGGCCCATTTCCGATCAAGCCAGCTTGCGCGACTATAAACGGTGGGTTCGAACCTTGGATGCTTCTGCCACACCCTGGCAGAAGGCTCTCATCGGGGTGGCTCTCACCAGCCTTAGCCGTGCACACGGAGTGACATGTCAGTAGGAATCTGGGTCGACGCTAGTGACCATCCCTGGGATTCTACAAGACCAAAGCTTCCGGTTCGCTGATCGCTCTCCGTACTCTGAGCATCACGTGACTCCTTATCTTTGACTACCATCGCGGGCTGCGCACGCCTGCACGGGTCGGCGTCAGACTTACTGGATGCTGCGCGGCAGGGTGGCAGTGAAGACATGCGCCTCCGCCTGCCGGCCCTGCAGACGGCGTCGGGTCGGGTTGCGACCCATGCCGTGGTAGACTCCTGGTAGGTCCAGTGTTCCTGCCTCGATTATGTCACTCCGCATAACAATGTTATATTTATGACGCCAGACAAAGCGCGAAACATGTTAGTCTTAACAGTAGACGATTGATTGAGTGAACGCACGCGTTATGGGCATGTAAAGCCGCGTATTAACGTGGTTTGCCCATTGCTTCTCATTCACACCCCATCGGGCATCATCATCATCGGGCATCGGGCATCGGACGCATCACGATGCACGGGTACATTCATCGAGAAGCTACTGAAGTTCAAAACATGCGGCAGTCATAGCTGAGGTGTTCAGTTGGTTCCTTCTAGAAGCAACTTTATTCATAAACTATTCATAAGCTCATGGCCTATTTTCATCATACTTGGATGAAGTTCTTCCCGGTCCTGTCGGCGCTCACACTACTAAGCTCAAGACAAAATGACGCCCGAATGAGGCGAAATCAGCTTAACGAGGCGCCCGTGCATTTGATGTTTTTGGCCAATTAGCGCGACTATCCCAACACGTCAATCGATAATATGACAACACGCCGAACGATGAAATGTCACTGACGCGATCAATGATCGATGATAAAACATTGCGTAGGTTGTCGGCCTCGAACCCACGACCCGACGCGCACGGTTGTTGACAGGCGCTATCACCGTCCAGTTATGCTATCACCGCCCAGATTCCCGGTCACAATTTGCCACCGCAGGCTCAGCATGTGCCATCTCGGATCATGATCACAGCCAGCACCCATTAAGACCAACCGTGGCCGCAATGACCCGTGTCGTGAAAACGACCGTCAGCCGTCCTCGTTATAGGCACTAAAGACCTTGAGCCCCGGGATTGCCGGGACTGATTTCGGAGCCTCCAAACAGACAATAACCAGCCTTCAGTATACCAGAGAGAGTAACTTAAACGACATTATCGAACAAACGTTGGGTACGTTGAAGCTCGCCATTTCAAGCCAATGGTGTCTGGTGACCAAATCACAGCATAAATTATCAACACTGGGCAATCTAACCAACGTTTCCCCGATCACGTCGTTCATCCGGTGCCTCTTGGCGCACTGCAGGTCGATTATCGTCAGCATGACAACCCCCGGCACATTCCGCCAGTCGTTCAGCCGCTCTGCATCTACAAGAGTCTGGTCTCAAGATGAACCTCACAGCGGTCAGAGCTCGTCGCGCGGCCGAATCGACGATCGCTCGTGCGCGTTCCATGGCTCGGCCAGCGGCAGGCTCCTCCAGAAGCGGACGCGCTCCTCGAAGGCGCGGGCCCCCAGCGACGGCGCCGCGTTCAGCCGCAGGTGGCGCTGGCTCTGCGCCGTGAAGATCGGCCAGGCGGGCGCGTCCAGCACGTCCGTGGCGGGGTAGCCGCGCCGCGCGAAGCTCGTCCACAGGCTGACCAGCAGCCGGACCATGGCGCTGCTCTGGCGAGCCACGCTCCGGCAGCGGCTGCTGGTCGCCGTGGAACAGGTAGGCCAGGTCGTCACCGTGCGTCACGTTGGACGCGGACGGCGCCGGGACCTGTAGCAGGTCGGAAAAGCGCAGCTGGCCGGCCCCCACGTGGTCCAGCACGTACTTGTAGACGGGCACGTGCTGCGAAGCCAGGTCGGCTTCGGCCGATAGGGCTAGAATGAAAAAGCGGTCGCTGAGTAGATCTACGACAGCGGCGTCACCGCGGCTCCCAAAGAAGTCCCTGATCTTAGCGGCCACATCGAGCGGCTTTTCCATCTTGCCGGAAATGCCGCCGCCACCCATGAGCTCCTCTGACACCCACGCCTCTAGATCACCGGCCTGAGCCCGCCGGAACGCCTCCTCGCGAGCGCGCGCGATGGTGAGGAGAAACAAGCCTTCGTCCTGGTTGCAGCCCATCATCCAGGGCACGTGGCTGAACTGGCCGCGCTGGAGCAGCACGTTCGGCTCCGCCGGCAGGAAGGGCGACGCGGCGTCACCGTCCACGCGGGGGTGAAACCTTTTTGGCAGGTCGCTTGTCGATGAGGCTAGCGCGCCCAGCACGCGCATGATGTCGGCCGCCGGTGCGCGACGCACGCACTCCAGCACGGCCCGGCTCTCTTCAGACGGACAGCCGAGCTCAGCAGCGAGGTGTAGCGCCAGAAGGCGCTGCTGTCCGCCTAGTGCCCAGCAGCTCGAAGCGCTGCCCGACTGGCTGACGGCCCGGTGGAAGAGGCCGGCGGATAGCGGGCTGATCACCTGCAGCGAGACGCTGGCGCCGCCAGCCGACTCGCCGAATAACGTCACCAGCTGCGGGTCGCCGCCGAAGCGGGCGATGTTGCTGCGCACCCAATGCAGCGCCAGCACCTGGTCCAGCAGGCCGATGTTGCCCGGTGCCTCCGCGTCATCCGTGGTGAAGAAGCCGAACACGTTGAGTCGGTAGTTAAGAGTGACGACCACGACGTCCTCGTCCATCAGGAAAGTCAGCGCCGAAGATATCGGCGTCGCCAGAGCCGCTGACGAAGCCTCCGCCGTGGATCCACACCATGACGGGCAGACGGGGCTCACCGTCACCGGCTGGCAGCCGGGGCGAGTACACGTTGACGAACAGGCAATCCTCCTGGCCCTCCATGGTGAAGTTACGCATCATGTTGTACTGCAGGCAGGTGGAGCCGTGCCGGGCGGCGTCGCGCACCCCCGACCAGCCGGGGTGGGCGCGCGGCGGTCGGAGGCGCAGGTCGCCCACCGGCGGCCGCGCATACGGGATACCTTTGAAGGCGGCGTACTGGCGTCCATCGAAAGAGTGAAGGGTGAATCCACGCAGCTCCCCGTCCTCGAACCGCACCACCGGCCGCTCGGCCAACGCCATCGCCAGCCACGCGAGCACGAGCAGCGCACGCATGGCCCCAGCGGAGTCCATCCGACGACCGAGTCAAGGCCACACGGTGACCGACTAAGCGTCGGTGGCGCCGCCCAGTGGCGGTATGTCGCACTCAAGGCTATCGCCTATCACGGAGTTCTTTCATAAGCAAAGGACAGGTCGCCCGAGCGACATGAGGTCATGAGAACGAGGACGCAATGGTGTCGCAGGTGATGATCACAGGAAATCTCATTCACGTAAATAATCGCCCTTGGTGTGATCATTTTCCTGAGAGCGCCTCTGCGCGTATTTAGGCACTATGCCAGGGCGGCAGGTCGATGGGATGCCGCTAGAGACGCAGTTTTTTCCAAAATGTCAGCCCACGTCCCAGCCCGCTTTGACCGGTTAGGGACCCACAACGCGAGAGCCCGCTGTGTCGCCGGGCAGACGCAAAAATCCCGCACGGATGAGACTCGGCACAATCTGTGTATTGCTTTTTTCTTATTTTTACACCTATGCATGACAGATGCGTGGGTGCACCATCAGTGTTGTCTAATGCACAGCATGATTTGCCTAATGCCATTGGTGGGGGGGGGGGGGGGCACAGCGAATAAAAACACTTGGACTAAGGAATTTATATGACGCCAAATGCACGGCCACGAGTCTCTAACAAATGGAACTGGTTTCGGACAGTGATACAAATGGTCGCAATGGAAGAAGATGTAACCTAAATTGAATCATTCACTAAGATGTCTCAACAATTTTGTCCTTGTGCCTCATCTCAGAAAACCGTCGACTATGTCTCGTCAAATTGCTTGCAGCAACTCATGGCTTTGCAACGACACATGACAGCTTTGAAACAACCGACATTTACTTGTTGCCATGCCATGTTTCCTTTCCGAACGACCATCCTCACGTCATTTGCAGCACTACGTGCAATGACATGACAGCAACAGCATGTTGTCCACTAATAACGTCTGTGCCATTCGGCAAATGTACTTCACTTTAAGCAATGCCACACCCAACCATGAGATGTTGTTAAATGCTAAATGAATACTTGGACGTACAAAAAAATGCGTGGCTAAACATATCTAAGACATCTTATCACATAGCCTACAACGACTGCAGCTTTAGTAATAATATTGAATGCTTGATTGACGCTATATTTATAACCGGAATTGTTAATGCAAACATATACACAGATACCGGCATAGACGCCCTCACATGCACTTATTCTTCTAATGTTTATCTGCCTACGTGAATTTGTTAATGAATTGTTTTACCTGAATCGACATTTTGATCACAGGTACAGTAGGGGGAGTGGGGAGAGTTGTTTCAGTCCTTACTCTGATCTCCATTCTGACATAACTAGTGGGGATAAGACTAAGACTCTTACATCTGCAGTCTCCTATTACCTTTAGCTTTACATGTAGCGGTAAAGTTTTGGAAATCATGACTTCGTTTTTGTGATTAATGGCTTTTGAGTGGCTTCCTTTCGAAAGAATCAACTTGCTCCATCCTGGCATGAAATGTATTACATTGTGAGGGAAGTAAGAGTATGTTTTTACCACCATCTATGTCACATCGCAAGCAAGCTGACTGGCTTGCGACAGATGGACTAAATTCAAAGCCAGAAGCCTGACTGCGTTCCATGCCTGGTAGGCTTATTAACAAGTGCAAATGAGACTACGAGTCATAAAACGTCAGCTGCCCCCCGACAAGGCCTCTGGCCGTGTGAGCCATCACATTAAGGTGTCAGATGTAGCCCACAGTGGACGTGATGCTGCGTTGGCGGCTCAGGAGCATCACTGCCGAACTGCCAAAACGCTCAACTGGGCGTGACACACGGGAGCTACTCGACCCACGACCGTGTTCGCGACGGTGCTGCAATGGAACACGCAGACGGAGCTTCATGTTTCGATTTATTCCATTTCCCTTGTATACTAGGCGCTACATGCAGCAGACCGATGCTTACTCCGCATGGGCGTCTACGAAACTTCGCAACGTCTTGTAAAACTTGTGTATCACGTGTCTTGTGTGTCTGGAAACTCGAATCCCCTGAAGATAGCCATGCGTATTTTTCAAACACCATAAGTGTTCCTTCGCAGCACCAAGGTCAGTCATGGCACTTACGGGGCCTTTGGATTGCCCTTCTATTCCAAAAGACATGTCCATAAACCTCACACCATTTCCAGGTGGGATGAATGTCTTTTAGTATATGTTAAGCGTCTCGGTAAATACTGGAATGCTTCTCCAAAATTGGGAGCACCATGCTATGCTTTGCGCGGCCAAACCCAATGGGGGTTTTCGGATATGAGCGGGCCTTCTCCGAAGTTTTGTTCGTCCGTCGAGCTTAATATTAACCTTGGAAATATCTTAAGATCCCAGTGACCCTTAAATTCTTAGGACCCCAGATTCCATCAATGGTTGGGACGAAATTGTATTTTGTTTTGAAATGTGTTGTAGATCTGGTGCTGGGACATCTTTTGGACGTCAGCTGCGGTCTTTGAGTCCTCGTGCGCTGCCACCTAAGAGTTTGTGGCACCCTTTCATTATTTGAGGTGTTACGGTCTTCTTGCCCTCAGATGTATCTTCGAAGTTAGAAAGCGCCCTTTGAGCCACCGGGACTGGCTCCATTTGTAAGCCCTTTGATTATTATCGGCGCCATTCTCGTTCCCAGACTAGGCAACCGGAGAGCCGAATGAGAAAGACTTGGCAGGCGGGGGGGGGGGGGGGGGGAGGGAGGGAGGGAGGTCCATGCCAGCGGTTTGGGATGTTCCTTTTTCATGAAATCCATTTAGACTTTGCTACACATTCCCTTTCAGTCTTCGGGAGTGCCTCCTTCCTCCCCGCCGGCCAAAGTTTAGAGTACTTGATAGTCTTCACGACCATTAAAACCCTTGCCTTGCACCGTGCCGTGCTGGGCGCACTTTTACGGGCGACGCCACCAGGGGTGGCAGCACCATGAGGACATACCGGACACGCCCCCCCCCCCCCCCCTCAACTTCATGATCTGAAGACGGTCCCCCACAACCATTGAGAGACCCGCGACTATCAAACGCATACGTTCTGCATAGCGAGGCGAGCAAAAGCACAAAATCTCTCAAAGAATCCAAAGCATATTTGGCACGGTCATTATAACGCTGGAGAAATGGCGGGCCGAACACACTATCCCTATGTCCCCTCGATAGGAAGCTCCTCGCATTGTGTACGCCGGAGCCCGTGCTCGCCACGTCGGCTGCTGAGCGCCATTCCCACGCTTCTCGGCAATGTTTCCGCAGGGGTGAAATATTGTATGCTTTTGTGGGGTTAGGCTACCCCAATGTCGAGGTGCACCACCTAATGCTGAGGTAGTCCCCGTCATGTGGAATTTTGATAAAACCATCTATCAAGAATGATAGAAACCACAAAGGTTGCAAACGTAGAAGAATTAAGAACGGTGTATACTTTTACGCTTCACAAATATAAGAAACAAAACAGAAAATGAAAAACAGAAGAAGAGGATAAACTTTTCTTCCAAAAAAGTTGTTGTGCTTTTGTGGCGAAGTGAGGAACAAACACCCCATTTCAGATAAGTGTGAATCAAAGCCCCCGTTTGCTAGGCAACGCAGAGTGTTTCAGTCCTCATAGCCCTTGTTTCCAACACAAGTCATGTGTTGTCTCGAGCTGCGTCAGTCTGTTTTGGTTATGGAATCTCCCACAGGACAAACGTCCAAAATCTCTCGATATTGTTTTTCGCACGCACCGCTTACAAGCTAGAAGTAACACAAGATGCAATGAAAAAGCCTCCGTAGAAACGAATAATTTGAAAATATAAATGGATCACCTTTCCAAGTGTGCGCATTATGCGAATGGAGTTGCCAATTTTGATCTGGACCTGGCCATGTAACAGCACCAAATCACCGGTACAACTGAAGCGAAACTTAAGCATTTCATTACTTGAGCCCATTTTTCAAAACTTGCATACTCCACTTGACTCAGCTACTTGAAGTCCTATGATAATGGCTTGGCGATACCATAATGGCGCAACGGTACAAAAAAGTGCGCTAGCTGAAATTTTGGAATGGCCTGAATGCCTCTTCCCCACTCGTGACCTTTTGTAGCCGGATACTGGCATATCTAGGGTGCCATTCCGGCGATGGCCCCAAACGCCCCTCAGGAGTCGACGAAAACCCATGCCTTTCGACTACCCCACCAACTCACTGGATTTTGAAGTCACCAGTCATACGAAAAATGATTTTGGAATTGATGAAAATGCAACATTTTCTCGCAATCGCTCAGATAAAAAAGTTCACTCCGTGCCAGTTGCCAATGTGTTGTGTGCCCGAGAAGTACGCACGGTTTAAAGTTAGCGCAAAACATGACATCAATATGTATACGCTATAAGTGCAGTGTACAGTTGAAGTGGCTCACACTGTCCTCTCACTGACACACCCGATGTCGTGAGACATTTCGCATTGATCAGGCCACGGTGTCAGGCGCAGCCCGCCACAGTGCGCAGGCGGAGGGCGGCCACGGCGCGAGGAGGCGCCGGTCGGCCGGCGGCGGTGTCCGCAGTCCGTCGGCGGCACGCGACCATGGAGCACATCGGGGGTCTGCTGTCGGTGGGAGCCAGCTGGTCCATGGCGCCCTTCAGCGAGCTGCCGCCGAATGAGAAGCTGCGGGTCACTGCCATCCATGACCCGCCGTTCTTATCCATCGACCCTCAGCCCGACGGTTCGTACAGGTACGACGGCTACTTGTACCGCTTATGGCAAATTGTGGCGAGTGAACTGAATCTCACTTACAGTATCGTTCCGCTTTTAAAAGGTGGCTACGGCAACATGGATGAAAACGGAACGTGGCACGGAATGGTGGGAGAGTTGACTCACGGCCATGCAGACGTAGCCTTAACTTGGCTTAATCTGAGACAGGACCGCGCCGCCGTCGTAGACTACATTGATGCCGTTCCCGTGGAGCATGACCAGTATACATTCTACGTTCGTCAGGGGGTTATCCCTCAAATTACGCCAAGCATGTTCAGCTCGCTACTGAAGCCGCTGCACAGCGACGTCTGGTGGATGCTGCTGGTCTCGCTGCTGGTGCTGTCCGTTGTGCTTCGCGTGTCGCTGCGCTTCAATCACCGGCGAGCCGAGAGCCGCGACACAGTGGAGGACATGACCTGGAGCTCGTGCCTGCTGTCCAGCTTCATGTCGGTGGTTGGTCAGGGCTGGGCCAGCACTCCAGACTCTCTGGCCGCCCGCACCGTCACCATCTCCAGCTGGGTGATGGGCATCATCATCTACGTCAACTACACCGCCAACCTGATCTCCTATTTGACCAGTCGTCACCGTTGACAAACCCATCAGCAGCCTGCGAGAGTTCTCCGAACAGTCAGGCTGGAGCTTTGCCATAGAACCAGGCATTGGCATGATGAACGACTGGAAGGTGAGCCATGACCCGTACGAGCGGGAGCTCTTCCGGCGCTCTGTGAGCCGGCAGGGCTTCATCGAGCTGAATCGGACCTCCCAAAGCATGCGCCGTACCATCGAGCCACGGGTGCTGACATACACAGACACCAGCCGGCTGTTTTACGTGCTGGGCCTCGAATCCTGCGACCTTGTTCCAATGGAAAGCAAGCCGCCCGGCAAGAGACCTTGCTTCTTGGCCTTGGCGAAGGGCAGAGACCAGTTGCGACAAGCCATCGACCTCATCATGAGTGAGATGCAACAAGCTGGCATCATAATGCGCCTGAAGAATCACTGGCTACGATTCGGGCAAGACCGATGCCCCACTTCAGCAGGTTACAAGGAACTCTCTTTCGGTGATCTCCTGGCTGTTTTGATCTTAGTTCCGTTGAAAATAGCTACTAGCGCGGTTATTCTGCTGGCTGAACGTGCTTGGTTTCGGGTGCAGTCAGCCCGCTGAAGACGGCATTAGTTTTCAAACGCTCCGTGTGTGTCAGGAAGCTTTCTTTGGTGTGTCCGTGACTTACTGCTTGTTCCCAGTCGGGCAGCCCTTTTGTGCTAAGGAACGCACCCGTTAGGTTGGATAAACCCACCTTGCGATGAATTTTTTTTTTGTTGTAATGTCTTGGAATGTTCCGTGTTAGGTCTCTTTTGCAGATTCATGAATCAAGCAATGTGCTATCTTCTGAGACCAGACACCGCTCTTGAAATAATGACGCCGCCCTTGTTTTCGAAACAGTCGATGGCTGGATGCTTTGTAAAATATATATACAAGCACCTGGAGATTTACAGCGCCACATTCTTTTACATGGCGGTCCAATCAGTGGTATCGAAGTTGCGCCAGTCTCAGACAATGGCAGGATGAACACCGTCGTAAACAGCGTGTGGCAAGTCTGGTGTGACCGTTTTCAACAACATAACAGATATTTACTCAGTAACGTCGTTAAACTAGAACTTCTTGGTACATTGAACGTCATTTTATGTCGGCGGAAGAACTCTGAACTCACAAAGCTGAAAAACCGACAGTTCAAGGGCTTCTTTTTACTTGTGCCAAGTTCATTAATCTGCAGACAGCAAGTTTGTCTGCGTCTTTTTCTGACGGTATGTAATAATCTGTCTCTCTCCGTCGTATAGGGTAAGGACTTGTAGGCCATGACGGACACCTACGTACAACTGCATCAAGGAAGTCAGTGATGTGCTTTGGAGAACTTATTGATCGTTCCTTGTAGAAAAAGGGGTGCGCTTTAATAGGCGCAGTATTAGGTTAAGGATCTACGCCAGCTGCCTTTTAAGTTTCATCTCCAGGGTTCATCATGCTGTATTCGCTCGAAGCATATTAATATACCCTGAGTATTACGTTTTGATAGCACTGAAAATCTTTATTATTGTCCATGAAATAAAGCCTTTAATCCTCCATGACGCTCCCTTAAATTATCACATTATCTGAGAAGCCGTCTCAAACATGAATGGCTTCGTCTCACACGACGTTGCCGCATCCGATTGAACAATGCCCTGGGCATTGTCTTCGCCGACAGCCATGGTCTAACTTAGATCTGCCATTGGTGGAGCGACCTTACAAAATACACCTATTTCTTTAAACCAAAAGGTGAGATATTCATTTTTGCTGCAACTTCACTCAGCTTGGTGCGACTATGCCGCACCCGTTCCGAAGTTATCCTGGAAAAACTTTCGGGGGTCAAAATAATCAGCCCTCTCGAGCGCATGCTGAGGTGTTTGAAGGGTGCTGAGATCTTCACACTGATTCAAGCAACAGCTTTTTAAACAAAACCATACACCACCTCCGTTATCACCCATAATAATGTGTTTTCTATATTTACCACATTAGCAGAGCAACTGGCCTGAAATAAACGCATTGTGCCGTCAGTTTAACGCCTGAATTATAAATTGTAACGCCCGCATAACATACGGCCGTCCATGAGACAAGCGCAAGGCTTTACTTCACGGGTTACTAAAATAGTTGCTCACCTTGTGAACTCTGGTATGCTGCCGGACTTAGTTCTGCTCTCATTGTCTACATACTTATGTAGATTATACCGTCATGTACAAGCTACGCGTTTTAGCGATGTGACAGAATGCTTTATCACTTAACGCGACCCCGCGATCGTCAACGAGTATCCGGCAACAAGGCAGGCTATATAATGCATTAACACGCGCCCGGGTGCTGAAAGACCCTTACGGGGGTTTCAGTTGAACCTTTACCGTAGTGCGCCATTCGGAAGGGAGTGTTTCACGCTTGAAGACATTGAAGTAAGCATCAGGTATGATGAAACAGGCTCACTTATAACTCTGGTACGCCTTTAAGCAGAAAAATGCCCCTAACACCATAATTTCTCTGCCTAATAGATACACCCCTCAATACGTCATTGTTTGATTACGACGCCGTACTTTGAACAACATTGATTAAGAGCTAATTGACGGCCGTTGTATCTGGAAATTGCGCTCATGAGCGCCATGTATGAGCGTCTCGACCATTGCATATTTTCTAGGCCTTGCTCGCTATATGGCTTATAAAATGGCAGAATTTGAGCGACGTTATGATGATGTCACGAATGCCCAGGCAACCAGAAATACTCTACCCTCTTCATTTCTTCCACTCTCCCCATTTCCGCGGGCGTGCGGCTCAGAAACCAGAGGGATGCACGCCTTAAGAAGTGCAGGGCTGTGAATTGCACAGAATGTTCTTTAAGACGCTAGTTCAGCTCAGAACCCCATACAAATGTGGATCACTGTCTCAAACATGACTTCAAGGCACATAGTTTGGGTGATGTAAAGCTCGACTTACACCAGTAGTTTCAAAATGCGCTCATGACCACCCATGACCATGAGCACATCTTAAAACGTTAAGAGTTTGTAATATAATATTCAACTAATGGTGTATAATCAGCTTTTATACCGATACATCAGTCGTGCTGTCATACAAATCAATGTCTAAAATAGGAACGGTTTGTGTCTGTCCGCTTTTCCTGGACTGCCCTGTATGTAGACAGCCAGACGTTATGCTAATGCCGATAAACGTCGAAAAGACAGTCCGGATGCCCGGCTGCCACCCGACCTTTGTAGTCACTTGCTGCATACAGACACAACCATGCGCCAATGCGATCTCCTAATCTTTTCTTAGTAGTCTTGCTGATTTCATGCGGGCTACAGCTTCAAGATGCCTTTTTGTGATAAGCGAGGTTTCATGGGAAGAAAAGCAACAAGAGCGCATTCCACATGTATTGGTGGCGGCATGGCCGTCACATAGCCTGACTGTCATAACGCACAGCGCATAGCACAGGAGAGCACCGTGTTATAGGCGAATGACCATCAGCACGACCAACCCCAGCTGCACCCACATCGACTCCCGGCGCTCTCATTGCTTCGGCGGGTCTATGTTCTTGTGCTGCGGCACGACGCTGCCGTCGATGATGCGGTTTTCGAAGCTCCAGTCCTCGAAGCCGTCGCAGCGCAGCTGCTCGCCGCAGCTGTCCTCGTACAGTCTCTGCCCGGAGTAGCACGCCGCCTCGGGGCCGTACTTGTACATGGCCTCGTTGGAGATCTGCTGCACCAGCGCGTGTACCGGAATGGGCACCTGTGGGTCGGCGGCGGCGGCACTGAAGTGGCGACAATTGGACGGCGGAGCACACAGGGCCAGATGCTCCAGTTGTCTCAACGGCGAACGGTTGGTTTTCTTGGGCTTGAATCGGAGCCGGTCATGTATATGGCCGCTTTACCAATTCGTGTTGACCTGAGGGCTGTGTCTAACAGTAGCCAATGGACGTATAGGATAAAGTTTCCACTGATGAGGGTCCGGATTGAGCATCGTGCGCTATACAAAAATGCTCTCCGCTGGCGGTCAACACGGGTTCGGAACGTGCAATAAAGCCATCTTCACCTGTACGTACACGAAAGCACAACTGACGCCCCACTCGTCCAGAATTGTTAACATCTTATTCCACCTACCTGAGATGAGAAAAGTGTGAGCTACTGGCTGAAAAAGCTGGTTGCAGTCGCGAGAGCACAAAACTCTGGAATCCCTCAGCCATCTTTCGATTTCTAGGCCATAATTGGCCCACTATCCTGACTGGAGCTGAGGGGATCTGGGTACGTGCGTGGGGTTTGGCACAAGTGCTGCGGGCATCTCAGATTTGGAAGCGATGCGTGCATGCCCTCAATTACTACATACAAGCATGTGTGCACACATGCACACATCGCTCACAACGCGAAATACCCGCACAACCTGCGCCGAACCTGGCGCACCACCTTGGCCTGCGCCGAACCTGACGCACTCGCACCCGTCAGCCGTCCCGCGCACGCCTCCCGCTGTGACGTCACTCACGCGGTGCGTCTTGGCGATCTGGTAGCCGAGGTCGAGGTCCTTGCAGTGCAAGTCGATGGTGAAGGTCGGGTCGTAGTCGCCGCGCATCAGCGACGGCCCGGCCGTCTCCCAGGCGAAGCTGCTACCACACCCGGCGCGTATGGCGTGCCAGAACTGGTGCAGGTCCAGACCGGACCGCTTCGCTGCCGAGGCGTCACAAGCGGGCACGAATGTTACGTCACGCGGGTGGACAGCTGGTCAGGTTACGGAGAACCGCACAATCGCGACTATGCGTCGGGCATGTCGGCGCTAAAAACCTGGACACAGCCACTGTGACGTCAGCTCGGTCACCTGACGTCGTTGTGATGTCAGCGCGGTCGCAGCTGGTGTGAGATTAGCGGGCTGTGACGGCGGCCGGAGCTTGGATATTACTGTCGTCTAGTACTCGGTCGTGCTGCTGCTGCCCATCGAGCCGGTGAAATGGCGCTCGCGGCAGCAGTATGAGGTTGCAGCAGCAGGAAGTCGATATCTGACGTTGCACCAGCAGGAAGAAAGCCGATATTTGACATTGCGGCAGCAGGAAGGAAGTCGATATTTGACGTTGCAGCAGCAGGAAGGAAGTTGATATTTGACGTTGCAGCAGCAGGAAGGAAGTCGATATTTTACATTGCAGCAGCGGGAAGGAGGTCAATATTTGACATTGCAGCAGCAGGAAGGAAGTCGATATTTGACATTGCAGCAGCAGGAAGGAAGTCGATATTTGACATTGCAGCAGCAGGAAGGAATTCGATATTTATGTGAGTCATGCAGGGGGCTATACGTTTTTAGTGCATTGTCCAGCGTTGGGCCGCGTTTGAGGAGATCGGGCTCACCAAAAATAGTCTTCGATTAAAATGTGTGGAAAGTCCCCGGCATTTCTTCCCAATTTATACCCAACAAGTCTGTACAAATTGCTTCCGCCGTGTGCTGTAGTATTTGCCGCCACCCGCGCAGAACTCACCAATCATCATGACTTCAGTCGTACCGATGGCGTTCAATGGCTACTACTGCAGTTTGAAGAGGTGCAGACCGTGTAGCAGCATGATCTGCCGCCACCCGCGGAGAACTCACCGATCATCGTGGCTTCAGTCATACCGATGGCGTTCAGCTACTACTGCAGTTTGAAGAGGTGCTGACCGTGCAGCGGCATGATCTGCCGCCACCCGCGGAGAACTCACCGATCATCATAGCTTCGGCCATGCCGATGGCGTTCACCATGCAGAGCATGTTGGACATGACCTTGGTGATGAGTGCCGAGCCCACAGGACCCATGTAGATGAGGTCGGTGTAGCTGGCCTGCAAGTACAACGACGCATTTCACGAACGGATCAAAACGCGGCGAGGTCTTCGTTGATTTCCCACGGATGTGCAAGGAAAATGGCGACTTAAGTTGACGTGGACCCGACTCACGGCGTGGCTACATACAGAAAATCATTATTAAACTGTCAAGTTACTTGTAGGTGCCACGTGCGTGGGGATGATTTCAGGATCTTCGTATCCAGGTGTCACACCAGTGCAGTACAAATTCGCTGCCAATCGGTGCAAAATTAAACGCACTCTCGATGTGCACTTAGGCTCAACAAACAGCAACGGGATTACTTTCAATGATTTACGTCAGATAAGCTTGCTGGCGAAACAAATGTAACATGCCAGCGTTTCATCCGTTCGTTATTCACCGAAAGTATGGGAGACACCAAGTCAATGACGGCTTTGTCTCCGCCCAGGTAGGTGACCATGGTGCCCGTCTGCAGGGCGGACAGCCCTCCGGTGATCGGGGCCTCCACCATGTCCACCTCTTTCTCCTTCACCTGAGGAAAAGAGGTCACACATTGGGGGTCTTCAGGGAAGGCAGCAAAGCAGGTTGATATTTAGACGTGATAGAAATATCAGCCGACCAACAAAAAACATTAGTCAAGTCTATTACGTACTCGCTAGTGGTTGTAGCTTCGCAGGAAATCAAGCCGAAATTGCTTTTGGATTTTTAATCAATATTTTTTTACAATAACAGCAATGTAGCTATTTCAGGGCCAAGGTTATCCATGCCCATCACTTCACATACTGCTGTCGGCCTGTCAGGACCACCTCCGGAGCAAACCTTCCCGTCGCGGTGACAAATACTCAGTTCACTGCAGCTAACCCCAAGTGCTGAACGTCTCGGGGCTGGGGTAACACGGAGCGGCCCCCGCTGGCGGCCTGCTGACCGTCCGCTGCCGGGCGGCCACCGTTCGGCTTACCTGCTGGTGGTACCGGATGGTCTGCTGATAGTCTGTGGTCGAGTGGTCGATCCACACGGCGCCCGGGCGCAGCCCCGCCAGCAGGCCGTCGGCGCCCGAGTACGACGCCTCCACGTGGGCCGGCTTCGGCAGACCTGAGGTCGGCACGCGCAGACGAAACGGGTCGTCACTACACGCACAAACGGGCCCGGCTCTTCAGTAGCCGCTGCAACAGAACATAACGAGAAGGTCGCCTACTGGTCCTGACAGTGATCAAGTAGTTTTATTGTATCCCATGTGACGAAACGGCACAACAGTCTTGCACTTGACATTGGTTATCAATGACCTTATTTATCAATGCCGTTGTCATTGGCCTGGCCTTGGCAACGCTGGCCGCTTTGCGACCACCGCAGCATAGTCCGCGCGGACGATGCAACGCCGACATTATGGCATTGTGCTCCTGAGCTCGTAACCACCTCCGCTGCGTGCTGTCAGAATATCGAGACGTTTGCGATGTGCCCAATTTGTCAACATTCATGATGACATATGGTGGCAACACACTTACATTGCAAATATCTTTCAAGGAGTGGCGCAGCTGTTTGACAAATCGGCTAATCGAATAAGCTGTTATTGGTCTGTCACTTCCACATGTTGTAGGGAACCAGAGTGCACACACAATGATATCGCCCCGAAGCAGGCATGGTGCTGCGTCCAGAAATGCCGAAGTGAAACATAACGGATCGGGTGCTTACCAAACACTTCAAGTTCGGTTGCGCTGGTGATGCTGAGATCTTACCACCCTTCTATCGATGTTCACACCGAAGCCGGCATGACACCTCTCGCTGGCGCTGGCTCATAGTTGCTTTTACAACCACAAATTACGCGACTCACTCACAAATTACACTCACTTACCGACTCATTTTTACGCCCACCCACAAATTACGCGACTCATTTTTGGCCATTTTTAACCCCCACTCCCATGCTTACGAGCTGTTTGCGTTGGGTGAAGGAGCTCTCTTCCGATCACGCTGTGTTAAAGGCAACATCTCATAAAGGTAACGTGTATTTGACAGCTAAATAAGGAAAAGGTGGGAAAGATAAACACAAAAACTGTTTGCCATGGGAGCAAATCAACGATATGCTGCTTGAAAGCTTTATTTATTCAAGATTTCAACATGATTTGCGGTCGCGCTTGAACGCCACGTTACCCTCCCCCAAAAAAATCACGGTCTTCTTATGCTTGGATTACGCTCCCTCAAACCCACTCTTACCCCTCCATACATAACGTAATTCGTGGACGTCCTCCCAGACACCTTCTGCGGCATCTTAATTATGACGATTACATTATGTTTCTTGGTTGTCTTTACTGGTTATGCTCTGTTCGGCTGCGTTGTCTGGCTCTGGCGTCAGCGGTCTCGCCAGCGGCGTGGGTGACATGGTAACAGACCCAATCACTTCGGCATAACGAAGGGCTAGCCAATGGAAACCATCGCCCTTGGAAACCCACACAGTTAAGACTTACTGATGTATTGGAACATCTTCTTCCCATGAGCGTGTCAGGCGGGCCGTGTAGACACGCTGATGTTAAGCGTCTGCGCACAATCTTACAGGCGGCATGGCTGAAATACTGCCGGCTTAAGGCTCGGGAAGGCCGGACAATCTTGACTGAGTAGGAGATATTGGATGAGTTTTGATTGATATGAGTTGGATTAACTTTTGACAAATGGCGCTGTCTGGTGAACGTGATGAAAAAGTCCTTTGTCGCACAAAGCGCTCCGAATTGCTTACCCGTTTGGTTATGCTTGATTTTTTTTGTCAAGTAGAATTCACATTTCTTGGCTGGGTATGCCGCAGTATTCAACGCTTCGGTTCCTATTGCCGGTATTAACGTGAAGTTCTGTGTGCCGCCGTGGACAGGGGTCCCGTTGTGTGCCGCCGTGGACAGGGGTCCGCCGTTCTGTGTGCCACCCTGGACAGGGGTCCGCCGTTCTGTGTGCCGCCGTGGACAGGGGTCCGCCATTCTGTGTGCCGCCGTGGACAGCGCTCTTGGTCTCCTGGCAGTTGGGTGATGGGCAGGTAGGGGTAACTGTCGGCCCTTTTGAAACGATCTGTTCATCACAGTCTTGTCACAGCATGTCTTCCTTACATGTCAACAGTTCACCGTTCAAGATTAACTGTTGGCTACGCATGGTTTTCCGCGCGGAGAGACATCCATGTGCGCCAGACCAACCATGTCGGCTCTGTTTCGGCTCTGTCACTGCAGCCATTGGTGTGACGTAGAGTCACTTCTACTCAACGCCTAAGCGCATCATGAAGCAGCTGAGGCGTAACGGTGCCATGCCTCCCGACTGACATCGCAGAGCAAAGCTCCCCGCGTCCCGCTACTCACACGTGATGACGACATCGGACTGTTCCGCCACCTGGCGGGAACAGGTGGCCCGCGGGATACGGTCGTCCAGGTCCGCGCCGCGCCGGGGGTCAATGTCGTACATTGCCGCCACCTTGTAGCCGCTGCGCAGGAGGTTCTTGCAGACGGCATCGCCTGTGTGCAGAGCAGCGGTAAACATCGATAGTAGCGGCTGGGTTGGACGTAATTGTATGCAACAGTTCAGCAGCGGGTTTTCCGCAGCTAGCTACATGCGACCAATGGACATAGAAACGACGCCATACAAACAGTGATATGCTTTGATGTCGGTATTCGTGAAAATCCATTCATAATCAGACCATCACGTAAAGCATATTCACAACCAATGGACAAATCATAATATGGCGGCAATACCCGTGCAGGCGAGCGGTAATTCCACTTCAAGTCGATTACCAAACCATGCTAGCTGGTACCCCTAGGCCATTATTGCTCTACCACACATAATTGGAAAATTCCATGTTACTTCCTCCGAAGCTTTTCCTCGAAATGTGCAAGCGACTGATGTTTACCTGAACCTAGTTTCAAGCTTCGTTAACCGCGGAACAACGGTTAAGCCCAGTTTGGAGTAGATTCGCTCCAGTTATTTTCATGAAAATACAATTATATGAGTCGATGAAATCCAGACTACCAAGATTTTCTACGCCATTAGAACTAGCTTAACAATGCAGCAAAGGTTTGTTTCATGAACGCAGCATTGCAACAAATAATTTGGACGGCAACAAAAAGGTAGTATCAAAACAACGATGCACATTGCTTCGTTAGCAAGACCCTATCCATAATTACGTCTCAACGGGAGACGAAGCGGATGCAAATTCACCGGTTCGGGCTGAATTCTAATAAAGAAGGTTTGGTGAACTATGCTTTGCAACTCTACAACTTCATGACAGGAGCCTATATTTAAACAAAATGGAGGCTATACGATCCGCTGGCAGTCCCGATGTCAGGTAAGTACATAGCACGCAGTGATAACACCCGCTGTCAGGAGTGTAACTTCGCGATGTCAGTTGGCTGAAGGACAGATAAAGATCGTTGGTTATCCACAGATACTCGTAATTCTATCGTTTCTTCGGATTTCCCCAACTGTTTCCTACATAGTTGGGGAGATGGCGGAGTGGGTTGGAGAATAGGACATTAGGTCCACTCCTGCATGCTGTGACGCGTGGGCTAATGCCAGACGCAGTGTGCAGCTAGATGTGGGTAGTGTTACGCTGGTGACCGTGCTCATGCAAACCTTTTTGATCTGAGCAGATAGGGTTTTAGTTGACCTCAAAGGTAAAATTATCAGCACTTCATACAAAATTGTTTTCATGTCATGTATGTAAGGTTTGGCCTGATTTTAAAGCTGACAGCCACATCCAATCTTTTCAGGCATCCAGCTTTGCAGAGAATCCCTTCAGTCTCATGAGCTGAATGAAGGAAACTGAATCGCTACGCATGGGGCGATGTAGAAGTCCAAAGACATAGGGTGCGGACAATCCGAGGTGCCATTATTCTCCAAATCTACCGTTGGCTCGATTAGCAAGGAAGATACAGGGAGTATCAAAACTACGTCATTATGAAATCTTGTTTTACTTGCAAATGCAAAGCGTTCAGCTTTATTTGTCAACACGAGCTCATCGTACCAAAAAGAGTTTCCTTTATTAAGTACCTTACCGCTCCACCATTTTCCTCCTTTGTAGTGAAAGCTTTGGCTGTGATCCGGCTGGTAACGCCTTTGCAAGCTCGACCGGTATGATAGGCTCATACAGCACCGTGGAATGTTAGAATCTAACCATCAAGCCATCTCACGAGTGCTCTCGAACGAAGTTGAATTCCTCTCGAAGGTGTTGATCCGCTTTGATGGGCATCGTGTTGACCCTTGTTAATCAGTAACGCGTTGACCCACATTAACCAGCGAAGTGTTGATCCACGCAGATTGGCAGCATGTTAACAATTCGTTAACCCTCTCTAGCATGAGTACCCATTCTATTTCTTAGAAAATACTTTTCACCGGGTTCCGGGAAAGAATTGAAAATTCGCAGGGTTGTTAAGGCTACGTGGGCTGTTAGTCTCGGGGCGCACAAAACGAAAAAAGGTCAATCCGGATTGGAATCATTTCTAACAGCTTACATTTCCATTGTCATTGGCTATTGTCGTATATTGTAGGTAGGAATGCTTTGCCTGCAGACGATATGTTGCATGGGAGTGGGCAGCTTAAGAAATTTAGGTATAAATGCTTGAGTCAAAGACTTTGGAATTGGTTCATGTGTCTACGTTTCGTGCATGCACGACCTTGATTTGGTCTCTTGGGATCGCTGAAAATTTAATTGGCATATCAGAACCTATGTAAAGTGATCCAAGACACATCATGAGTGATAGGCAGAGCTCATGATTTTACGATTTATTTGCTGACCTTTTGGTGCCATGATGACGAAATAGTGCAAAAGGTTACGGAAAGAAGAATGAAAGCCAGCCAGAAAGCTAACAACGTGGCACACGTTAGCAAAATCATAATATCAGCGACGAAGTTGCATAGGAGTTAACACAGCCTGTGCTTGAACGAAATGTTCTACATAGAGGCCAGATTACAAATAGTCAATCAATATTGCACATGACTGCAAATGCAGTCACGTGTAGTTCCGCCCTGCCCGTAACATGAGAAGGCGGAGGACATACTTAAGTTTAACAAAGCTCAATATGTTTCCTATCGTATGTTGGTGCCTAAAGACCGATGAAGTCATCATGTGCACGAGAAATGTCCATGTTTTCAAACTCGTACGAAGGGCAAAAACACCGCAGGTCGAGCGGGACCACTCCGCGTGCACGTGAGGTGCAGTTAGCCGACATCCGGCTGCCTGTCCAACATATACCATTTCTTTCCGGCGATGAGCCAGAGAAGGCTGAGAGACGGTTCAGCATGTCACATCGTTGGAAACCTTGGGGAAAGGGCATTGGGGAATCTGATGACGATCGCATGTCAGGGGTGGCAGGTGTCTCCGAGCACACCGCTGATCAGATAGCCCGAAAAAACTGCCGTCAAAACGGTGACAGATGCAAGTTGTCCTCCAGGCATTGCGCCCAACTCAGAGACACATAAAAACGTGGCAAGCCTTCGGTGATGCGTGGAGGTATTCCTTGATGTGCAAAGATACGTGACTCTTAGCGTCATGAATGGCTCCCGCATTTAATTGCGAACACCGAGCACAGCAAGCATAGCTGCTAAAGGAGTTACTACCTCCACATGTACTATTGATTGGCCCTGTCATTGATAAGCTGGAGCGAAATCTTTGTGATATGTGTCAGTATCTATGTGCAGAGATTCTGTTTGTCACCGCTGAGTGCGGATTGGCATCGTGTAAACATGGATCAACAAGCCCCAACCCCACCTGCGAGTGATTGTGTCATTTGCGCCCGCGCTCCGCGCGAGCCGTGCGATTGGCTTCATTTGAGCCTGCGCTCCGCGCGAACCGTGCGATTGGCTCCATTTGTGCCTGCGCTCCGCGCGAGCCTTGCGATTGGCTTCATTTGCGCCCGCGCTCCGCGCGAGCCGTGCGCGCGGGTGCGTGTACCGGAGACTTTGGGGCGTTCGACAGCCGTTGCCATAAATATTATTGGTAGCAAACCTCAGTGGTATGTCTGGAGGAGGACCGCACACGCTGATATGACCACTATCGCGATTATTGTTCCATTTAACTGCATGGACTGCTCGCAGATGAGGCGCTTTCACTGTGGTAAAAGAACGCCAGAATGGATTGCTGGTATGGTACTTTCGTTCTTCGCAAACCACTTTATGTCCACGAGGACGCCATTTGAAACACATCTGTATCGATAAATGAGATGCTGCGTAGGAGTGGGTGTGCTTGAGTGCGTGCGTGTGTGCTTCGTTGTGAAAGCCTGAGTGGCGGCGGCCCGCAGAACACCGCCGTTTGGAGCACCGCAGAGTTCTCTCAGGTGAGTCTGAGCACCCGGGAGTCCTCTCAGACTGTCGTCGTCACTGCACGTGCCATCGTGTTCCTGCAGTGTGTGGACGGGTAAATCCATATCACTTTAGTTCCTCCGTCTGTGCTGGTTTGCGACGAAGTCTGAATAGGTGGCACGGTCAAAGTCGTATACGTGAAAGGGTGCCGTACAAGTCAATTACCGATACTCAGCGTGCATTTCGGCGTGGTCAAATAATGTCCTCTCGGCGCGAATGCAACCGTAGTCTGAGTGTAACGCCTGACCTAGTATTTCACATGAACATCAGGCTGAGTGTCTACATCCTGAAGCGTTTGTTTTCCGAACATAGAAGTAATACGCGCTGAGCGTACAGCCGTGCCATTCTACGCCAGCTAAAGCATGAGGCAAACCCCGCCATAAAGGATGTTCCCTACTCAAAAGAATTGTATGCCAGGGCAGCGGGAAGCATAGTTTATCATCTAATATTGGCATGTAGACACATCATAGCTGTGAACTTAATGGTTGATGGACGATAGAGCCGTACAATGGCTATTGACTGGGAGCGCCTCCGGACCCGCCCGCCCTGCTGCGCGTGAGTGCCACGGCGGGCTACCTGTCGAACACTGAGAATGACAGCGGGTCAGGGCTGCCTGCAGAAGATCGCTTACCAAATTGCTTAAATGTGGTTAATAGCAAAGCACACATCCATCGCGAATTTGAGCTAGCAACTCTGTGCGACATGTAAATCGCTGCCAATGTCATCAGAAAGCAGTGTTTCGGGAACGACAGTGCCGTAGGAGTCCGGTTTCCGGGAACACCAACCCGTGGGCAACGACGCACCCCCACCCTCCACCCCCTTCCAGAACCCTTTTGGTATCATATAAAGGAGCGGTTAGAGAGCAGGAACCGCAAGGCCAGCTGCCTGGGGTCGAGGCCGAGCTGCGCCGAAACGCGTGATCAGCTGTATTCAAACTGAACTCATGACAGCACACGAGATGGTCCCAAGATTGTCTGTTTATTTTACAGACATGGCCAGTTCACACGGAGCGTGGCTATTCTCAGTCCAGCGTCAAATAGTGGAGCAGCGTGGCAGAGGCTGAAAGAACACACGAGAATGCAATTTACGCTGCCAACACTCGGGATAAAAGGGGAAAACGGAACATGCCACGCTATTAGTGAATATGTAGGTGGCACAGCAT